ACAGCCCAGAATAGTTCATAATGGCTGAAGAGAGGTACGCAACGTATTCTGCAAGCAAAGCGGAAGGCTTGGTTTACGTGGCGAATATCCAAGAGTTAGAACGATCAAGGCGCACACCTGGAATTCAGGAACCGGTGCAGCGTGAGAGTCAGGAGTGACAGGAGGACATTTCAGGCTAACCTTGCCAGAAACACCTGGCGAGCCCGAAAGCTTGTTTCGATTCATGCTGGAAAGAAAACCAACCAACCAGGTGGCATCGCCTTAGTAGGCCCAAACGGTCAATACCTCACTAGTTTAGAGACGGCTGAAACATTCAGTTTAGCCTTCACCAAACAGTTAGACAGCAATGTGGGTATTACCTGTACGGACCAAAATGGCGGCATTACTACTCCACCGGAAGCAAACCTAGTGGCTATTCCCGAAATAAACCTGGCAATGGTACTTAGGAAGCTACAGAGACTCACATCTGGAAAGTCCCCAGGTTGTGGCGACATCAGGCCATCTTTTCTGAAAGAGTGCACCGAAGCTCTCTGTAGGCCCTCATGCCTTACTTTCAGTGGTATCAAAAGTACTGGAAAGTATTATTAACGATCACATCAGGGATTACATCGATAGGTCTAATATACTCCACGAAGGTCAACACGGTTTCAGGAAAGGCAGATCTTGTGTAACAAACCTGCTATCAGCTTGGGACGACTGGACATCATGCTGGGATATGAATGTTCCAGCCTATGTGGTCTTCCTAGACTTTGAGAAGGTATTTGACACAGTTTACCATGACCATCTTCTACACAGAATAAGTCAGACAGGCATAGGTAAGCCACTTCTGTCATGGTTAAAGGACTAGCTAGTTGAAAGGTAATTTTGCACTAAGGTTAATCGAGTCCGATCACCTTGGCACAGCTCGTCATCAGGAGCGTCGCAGGGTTTTATCCTAGGACCACTGATGTTTTTGATTTTTGTCAATGATCTACCATGCCGTCTAAGCTGACCGAATCTTCTATACACTGACAACGTAAAGATACGGAGGGCGATAAAGTGCCCGGAGGACTCAGATAGGCTGCAGGCAGACCGAAAGCTTCTGGAAGACTGGGAGGTGGCAAGTGACGTGACTTTCAACCTGAAAAGTACAAAATAGTGAAATTACGCACCTGTAGACTGCAGAATGCAAGTTACACCCTGTGCAACAAAAGCTTGTCTTGCATAACGTCGGAGTGTGACTTAGGTCTAGTTCTAACGGAAAAATGGACACAAGCGTAAATTACACGGGAAACGTATCAAGTGTATTTGTGGTCATACATTTCACACATAGACAGTTGGGTGCACTCACTCCTGAGCTCTTTCTAAGGTTGTACAAAACATACGTCAGACCATACACTGAAGTGCGTCGGTGGCACAGTGGTTGGGACTCTCGCCGACCATGCACATTGTCCGGGGTTCGATCCCCTTCCGACGCAAACCCGATATCTATGGTCGGCCTGCAAAATTTGGGTTACCGATATCCATGCTGAAAATTCCATACTTGTACTGAAAATACGGTGTGGCATCAAGCTGTAATCAAAAATAAATGAATAAATAAATAATATTATCCACTGCTTAGAAGAGACGCCAACCTCGTGGAAAGAGTCCAAAGACGGTCATCAAAAGGAGTGGTTGGTCTCCGAAGTCAGCCGTATAATGAAAGGCTCAAGAAATTAGGCCTACTCACACTTAGCTGCCGTCGGCTTAAGGGGGATTTGATTACTGCCTATAAGATAACAAGTGACCAGAATCACCCAAAGGTGTTCTACCTAGTGGAAATCCCAGAAGGATAGCTCACCAGAGAGCAAGGACTCGGGTGCGCTCCCACTTCTTTTCACTGCGGGTTTTCCATCCTTGGAATTTCAGCAGATGCAGCTGTGGCACAGTCTGTGGACGCCTTTAAGCAAAGGCTGGACAGTCATGCAGTGACTCAAGGACTGCATCAAAATGGTCTGTCCCCTTGAAATCTCATACACCATTCCGGGTAGACAACTAAGTTCGTCGTTTTACTTCTTTACATTCTCTCCCGTCTTACTCTCCTGACAACTCTAAATACACTCATTATTATTATTACCGATATATGTATACATATCAACTTCAGCCTTAATCAGCTGTCTGTTTTTTTACGTTTTCTGTCTGTTAGTCTGAATAACTTCACTAATTATATCTATTATTATTATTACCTCTTTTCTTTTTGACGACTATACCAGAGGACTTACTGGTGAAAGGATCAACTCCATTCACAGTAGTATCAGTCTTAGCACACCTCATACTACAAACCACATATAATTAATCCCAGCGCTACTCCTTTTGGAGTAGTTACGTCAGTCGAGTGGCGGGACGAGCTACGCAGAAGTTTACCGAAGATCAGAAACCCATACCTCCCAATCAAGAGGCGAACACAAAGAAATCAAATTGGTTTGTAGTAGCTCGTAAAAGAGATACTGGATATTGGATTGGACGTTGTATAGAAAGTATTATTGATGATCACATCAGGGAATATCTGGATAGGTCTAAAATACTCCATGAAGCCCAACACGGTTTCAGGAAAGGAAGATCCTGCGTCACTAACTTATTATCAGCTTGGGACGATTGGACATCATGCTGGGATATGAATGTTCCTGTCCATGTGATCTTTCTAGACTTTGAGAAGGCATTTGACACTGTTCACCATGACCTTCTCCTACACAAAATAAGCCAGGTAGGTCTAGGTAAACCACTTCTGTCATGGTTGAAGGACTACCTAACTGAAAGGCAATTTTGCACCAAGGTCAATCGAGTCCGATCATCTTGGCACAGCTCGTCATCAGGAGTGTCGCAGGGTTCTATCCTGGGACCACTGATGTTCTTGATTTTTATCAATGATTTACCATGCCGTCTAAACTGCCCGACTCTTCTATACGCTGATGACGTAAAGATATGGAGGGCGGTAAAGTGCCCGGAGGACTCAGATAGGCTGCAGGCAGATCTAAGGCTTCTGGAAGACTGGGCGGTAACCAGTGGAATGACTTTCAACCTGAAAAAGTGCAAAGTAGTGAAGTTACGCACCTGTAGACTGCAGAATGCAAGTTACACCCTGTGCAATGAAAGCTTGTCCTGCTCAACGTCGGAACGTGACTTAGGTCTAGTTCTAACGGAGAAAATGGACACAAGCGTGAATTACACGGGGGATGTAGCGAGGGCATATGCGGTCATACACTTTACACATAGACAATTAGGTGCACTCACTCCTGAGCTCTTTCTAAGGTTGTACAAAACATACGTCAGACCGCATCTTGAAGTGCATAATATCATTGCACCCCCACTGCTTAAAAGAGACGCCAACCTCTTGGAAAGAGCCCAACGACGGTCAACAAAAGGAGTGGTTGGTCTCCGAAATAAACCATATGACGAAAGGCTGAAGAAATTAGGCCTATTCACACTCAGTTACCGTCGCCTGAGGGGGGATTTAATTACTGCCTACAAAATAACAAATGATCAGAATCACCCGAACAAAGGTGTTCTGCCATTGAGTAGGTATAGGCTCCCTCGTGGAAATCCCAGAAGGGTAGCTCATCAGAGGGCAAGGACCCGGGTGCGCTCCCACTTCTTTTCCCTGCGGGTTTGCCGTCCCTGGAATTCCTTACCGGCAGATGTAGCTATGGCACCATCTGTGGACGCCTTTAAGCGAAGGCTGGACAACCTTGCAGTGACACAAGGACTGTATCCAAATGGCCTATCCCCTTAAAATCGCATATACCATTCAAAGATAGACAATTAAACTGGTCGTTTTACTTCTTCACATTCCCTTCAGTCTTACTCTCCTGACAGCTTTAACTACACTTATTATTATTATTGTTATTATTATTATTATCATTATTACTGGTATATTATATATATATATGTATACCGGTTGACTGACTGTTGTTACGTTTTCTTATTTTTTCTCTGTCTGTTAGTCTGAATACCTTTACTAATTATATCTATTATTATTATTATTATCTCTTTTCCATTGACGACGATACCGAAAGACTAACTGGTGAAAGGATCAACTCCATTCACAGTAGTAACAGTCTTAACACACTTCATACTACAGACGCCATATAATTAATCCCAGCACTACTCCTGTTGGAGTCAACCAAAGCTACGACAGTCGAGTGGCGGGACGAGCTACACAGACGTTTACCAAAGATCAGGAACCTCTACCTTACAATCAAGAGGCGAGCGCAAAGAAATCAAATTGGTTTATACTAGCTCGTAAAAAGATATTGGATATTGGATATTGGAATCAATGAAAACAGTGAAGTTTGTTTAGATTGCGCAGCTCGTGTATAAAATACCATACCAACGCGAACGCCGTACTTTTTTGACTGAGTTATGTTGGTTTGGTTGTTTATTGTCACATTTTCATTACTTGCTACTCCATATTATTCCTATTCGGTTAATTTTATATTACCAAACAACTGTTATTCTGGTTCTGCAAGTTCAAACGCAGAATACTTCAACACCGCCAACCTTATATGTGAAAAATGTTCTCAGAATCTTACCTATCAAAGACAGTCACAAGATGGTATAAGTCAATTGTTTGCTAATTTCTAGGCTATTCATGTATATGTCAACCTGGTTACAGGATTCTAAAAAATTTTGGTGGCAATAATGTAGAGTGCGTAAAATGTGGTGACGGAGAAGTTAGTTACAGCAATGTGTTGATAACTGTTTAGACGGTCAGTGATGATGGGCTTTATTGTATACCATGTGAAAGTGGGTCATATATTTCTGCCACAAAAAGCTGCAGATCTTGTTCTTCAACTTCTATTTCAGGTAACGTTTCATTTCACTAACACTATTCTCTTAGTTTATCTTGACCAGTCAGGGAAAATACTAAGCAGTCAAAAATGTCTCCAATGCTCAGGCAACACAATACCTTCAGGCTCAAGGTAAATATCTCGCTAGTAACCTAAGGCGGTTTTAGATGTGTTACTTGTCAAACTACAATCCAGATGTTGCGTGGATCATCCTTGTCTGATTCATGCACATGTCCAAATTCTCCAGTAAGTTATCTCTTGTTTTTGAGGGATGAAGAGTGTTATATTGTATGTAATAGTGATAAGTTTTGCATCACACTTTCGAGCATTTTTTATGGGGAATATTATATGTTACTTAGACAGATTTCAAAATAATATGGAGAAGACGTGTGCTAAATATGCTCTACACATTCTGAGAAGTTTAGTTAATTCACTGAGATTTTTAGAAAGTTTACTGATTAAAAACACTTTCATGTTGATTTGGGAATTGGTTCAGACAGTTTGATAACAGTTTAGCTGTAGTACACAATATCTGACATTTACTGAAAAATTAACTTTATGATATAGAGTCGTAGTTTATTTCAACTCACTTCTAGTCTGCTTTTTGAAAAACTTTTGAGACATGTACTTGAAAACAAGATTTCGAGAACATTCGTCTGGCTAAGAACCTAAATAAAAGCGCACTGTTTCCAAGTTTGGAAATGTAGATAGTTGTCTCAAATGGATCTTTTTCCCTCAATCAAATGCTTCCTGCTGTTTTCAAGCATTTTTGAATGCCGGATATAATTTTACAAACGATGACTTTTTTAATCTTTATCTGTTGACTGATGAAATGCGTAGATGACATCTGGCTAGATGACTAAGTGAGATTATGCACTTGCAAATCAAACTGAACATAATCTTTTTGACAAGTGATTTTTATCAGTGAATCAAGAAACCGGAGGAGTAAACCACTTCAATTTAGAGAGGAAATGATGATGCTTCTTGAAGAAATGAAAGCTACAGCTTGATTTTAAACTAACTAGAACCGGTTTAGCTCAAACTTGAGCCATAGTCTACCAACTTCATGAGTTATTACACCATCCACAAGGACCCAGGACTATAAAAAAGCTTACAGATTAAGGATTTTGACTAAACTGTTTAACCTCTGTCCCCGGACGTTTTGTACTTCTTTGTGGGCCGCTAGAGATCAAATGACTTGACGGTTGTATAAAAGAATGACAAAACTTCACAGCTCATACACTACTTCAATCTCAACTGCGAGATTCTCCCCTGGCCTCAAAATATTGTCACATTTACGTTCTGACACCCAAAGTGAAGATGGATAACTTAAAAAACCGAAATAGGTTTCTTGCAAAAATCGTACTGAATACTTCAGAGATGCATAATTTCCTAAAGCTCTGAAAAGTGTAGATATCTACTTCACCTCACTTGACCAATTCGGCAAATCTGCAGAGTTCATCTCACGTATGTTAGAGGGATTCTATAGATGCTTTTAAGAAACCTGTTGGTCTTAGGCTGGCATTGATCTCCAATGCAGGACCATTACACTAGAGTGGTTTAAGTGGAGAGTTGTCTAAGTTTCGTCTGGTTAAACATATATATGGAAACAAGGAGTGTTTTTGATAGTTACCATTGGCGTTTGTAGTCCCCCCGCCCACCTGACAGCTTCTTTTAATGAAGGCCAGAGATATATAATGATACAAGAATGGTTAAAGATGTTTAAAAAATCTTCTGGGAAGTAATGAAAATTTCGAAGATAATATGAAATCCACACATTTTTTTTACTGTGAACTACTTTCCGACATCTCACTAAATGCTTCCTCAGAGATTAACAGCTAAGACATGTCGATTGGATTACCTCTTCTACCCGACACTCTTTGATTAGTGTCAGCGCTACTGGTCATTATGTACGATCTAATTTGAGATTTTAAAACAAGCAACAAAGGCTAATAAAGAAGGACTTAATGAATTCACCAAATTTTGGTAGAGCCCTTTAGTTGAGCGCTCTACATAGAGGGATATGTATACATTTAGAATGACATTGGGAGATGTAGGACTGACAAGCAAATAAACTACGTTGAGTTAGTCATGCAAAACGCCAAATGCGAATGTTTTCCAGGTCATGTTCAAATAGATAAAGGGAGACGGAGTATGAGAGATTAAAATTCAAATGAAATGCATTATGCTTCAATTACATCACTTAGATAAACAATTAGTCATTTCAGAAAGAACTTAAATGTATCAAGAATTGCGAACTGAGTAATATTAATAGTAATAGTTATAATAATAATGTTGAAACGAGTTAAGACATTGGTAATAACAAAAGATAGTTTTAAATGAATCAAGAATAATAATAATAGTAGAATAAAGTATCACTAATATTAAAAATAACAATGGCTAACTAATAAAACATATTACCATTGTAGATTCAGCGTGAGCATGATTTCCTTCTGTACTTAGAGACCATGTTTGCAAACTCTAATTTCACAAGGCTCCGCAAATGCAAGCATCTTCCTGTCTGTTTGTCTGCTGACAATAACAGTGAATAACTTGAAAGCGTCAGTAAGATGTCCGTAGTCCACAAGATGTCACTGAACTTTTGGGCATTTTGACTTCACCTGTTTTCAAGCACTTAGACAAACGCTTCATCACGCCATTAGGCAATAGTCTTCCCCTACCACCTGTATATTCGTTTTCACGAACACACTAAAACTGATATACGCAATTTGAAGTATCGAGGAATGGCGACTGATCTTTCGCAAACTGTTGAAGCACCTGCTTGTTGGTGTTAAGGAAGACGACTTTTGAAGCATAATAAGTGCTCTTGATAGCTTTGTCGAGTCTTCGTTTGACTACTTCTTGTATACATCATCTCTTTTGAATAGCAAATTGTGATACAGACAAATTTCCTTGGAACTATTTGGATAGTTTTACTAGGGATTATTTCTTTAGAGTATATATCGATGGACTTCTCAGAATATCCATTCTTGGATAAAATATCCCTCATAGTGCTTGTTTCATGTTCAGTTTTACTGTCCTGTAGTTTGAGATTACTCCTAAATTGTGTGATTTCTTATTTGTTGTCAATATATTTACTGTATAGTACTCTACCAGAAGTATTCATCAACTTCTTATAGGCATTTTAAATACAAAAACCGTAAGTAACTTAGGTAAATATTGAATGGCAAAATAAGTTGTGTAAATTCCTCATAAAAGTAACATATACCTGCGAGTAGTATAGTTCGTTATTTAAGAAAAAAAGAATAGAGTACATAAACATGATTTATTTGTTATTAACAGTTACAGTGTTCATATCTCCTCCAGTTAGACTGGCACCTTTATATAGCCATCACTTGTGTAAATTACACTTGTTAATAAAGTTTTCAAACCAAAATAAATAATTACAATAAAGGTTTTTTGTATTTCTCAATGAATGAAAAACAAAACGACATTGTTGTGTGTTTCCTGACATTCCTCTACTTAATGCTGCTGCTAATAGCTTAATCAAAGTAGCAATATTTAACCAGAATTTACAAAATCTCAGCTTATATATAACAACTTAATCATTGTTCCTCAGCATGGGGTCATTTTCGCGTTGTCAAATTGGCCAGTTGGTAAAGATAACAGAACTAGGTGTAGATTGTTGGATTTGATAAATGTGTAGAATTATAAAAGAAAAAGAAGAAGAAATATCAAACATTACTGAAACCCTCAAGGAAAACAACTACGCAACGAACTTCATCAACAAAATCAACACTGACATTAAATATGGTCGAAAAAGTATTCCAAAAACATGGACCTCAACAGTTGTCATTCCATATAGAGCAGAGACTTCAGACGATAGATATCAGAAGAGTACTAAATAAGTTCGAAATCAGAGTTTTCTTCAAAACATCAGACGCACTGCGAAACAACATTGTTCATATAAAAGACAGAATCCCTGAAGACTCTCTATATAATTGTGTCTATAAAATAAAATGTTTGGAATGTGATGCGATATACATCGGACAAACATCCCGAGAAATCAAAATCAGAAGAAATGAACATTGTAGAGCATCTGTTCGACCACCGAGAAATCCAGTTGAACCAGAAATGCTTGAAAAATCACCAGCCATAGGTTTTCTACACGCTATAGAACCAGCTCACGAAATTTATTTTGACAGTATTCGAATCATCAACCAGAACAATTTCAGGAATCACAAAGAAGGTCCGATATCAGAAGCACTTCGTATCATGAAGTGGAATGCAAATTGTCTAAATAGGAATGATGGACTAAAACAGAATTTCACCTGGTTACAACACACCACCTCCTCCCCTATGAAATGACGAAATCAGCACGAATGTGATAAGTAATTTCATTATGTAAAGACACGCTGCTTTTATAATTTTACACACTTATCAAATCCAACAATCTACACATGATGGTTTTGTTATCTTTACCGATTGGCCAATTGGCCAACATAAAAATCACTTCATGCTGAAGAACGATGATTAAGTTGTTATATGTAAGCTGAGATTTTGTAAATTCTGGTTTAATATAACTACTTTGATAAAGCTATTAGCAGCAGCAGAATTAAATAGCGAAACATCAGTAAACACAACAGCGTTGTCGTTTTATCCTTTTCATTTATTGGTAAATACAAGAAAACCTTTATTGTAATGAATATCATATACCCAATGACCAAATTTTTTCAAACTGTTAAAAGTGAACTTGATTTGGACGTATATAATATAAATATTTCCTCAATACTTATTTCGTAGGATAACTGGTCAGATTGAATGATCTAATAATTAGTTTATCCTACTTTTCTTCATCTTATAGGTTGATGGTGTTTGCTTTCCAGGTATCACACCGACAACAACAACTGACACCTCGAAATCAGCTTCCAGTACAAGTCCTGTTGTGCCTAAAGGATCTGATACTTTTACACTGATACTGCCAGCTGTAAGTTTGTGCTTTATAGATTAATTCGTTTTTATTATACCAGAATAATTTAATGGTAATTTGGTCATATTGTGTTTTACAAGAAGTGCTTGCACCGAATATCCTATTTGCATTGTTATTCTTCCCTTGGGTTCCGAGTGGAATATACGGCTTCAACAGGACATCCCCATTTTTCCCATATTCTGATGTGCTCTTCAGCTGGTCCCACGATTACCCGTAGTCTTTCATCTCCTCCATGTCACCCTGGCACCGACGGCCCATTCGTCATTTCCCATTCTGGTTCCATTAGGGCGATGACTTGGCGCGCGTTGTCAGCCAACGGTTTCCTCAGTATGTGCCTAGTCTATGTCCACATTCTTCTGCATATTTGTTGATAGGTCGGTTCTTATTTGGTTCGTTCCCAGATTTTCTTGTTGCTAATTCTCTCTGGTCAGCCGTCTGATCTTCGATATGGAGCCAACTAAGGAGGCAACTGTCGGTAAAATTCTGCAGTAGCCTGTTGGAAATGCTTTTCGTGACACATTCGCCAAGTTTCTCACCCATATAGAAGAACTGACTGGCTTAACATTTGTGCTGAAAGTCCGAAGTTTGTCCTCTATTCTGAGTGCAGAAGATTTCCAAGCTGATTACAGATTGATGAAGGTGTATCTTGCCTTTCCGAATCTGGCTTTGACATCTTCATCAACCCCGACTTCCTGTAATTGAAACGATGCGTCGTAGATAAGTGAAAGAAGTAGCTTCTTCCAAATATCTCCCTTTGGTGGTGACAGTTTCTGGTTTTTGCTGCTGTTGGTTGGTTGGCTGGTAATCTTCATCACCTCCGTCTTCTCTATGTTCACCTAGAGTCCTGTCTTCATTGGCAACTTCTTCAGCAATTTTGTTGGTTTTTGCCTGCCTGTAAGTCTTCAAGTTTGTCTGGCATTGAACACAACCCATCTGCGAAATCCAGATATTCTAGAGTCTTCTTATCGGTGGTCGAGCATATTCCTGTCTTCTCTCTCCCACTGAACAGTCTGACGCATAATCCAGTCCACCGCAATTAAGAATACCATCGGTGATAAAAGGCAGGCAGCCAATAATCATACTTCTGTATTCACTTCACTAAGGTTTCCCTCGTGGATCACCTGACACGTGTCATTATCAATTAACTGTTCAGTGAGGTTGGTAAAAAGTTGGGGGTACTGCACGCCATAGTGTTGAGGTAGTTTTCAAGTTAATTCATGGCCAACGCTGTCAAAGACCTTTTCATAATAGATGAAACTAAAGTAGAGAGAGATTTTGCTGCAATTCATGCTTTGTTCGATGATGATGGTGATGCGTAGAGTTGCAATTTGTTCCTCACATAATTTGCCTCCCCTGAATCCAGCTTGTTCCGGTGTGGCTGACGGAGTTCTGCATCCAGTGCATCTTCTGTTCTCTCCAGGATCCTATATGTAGCAATATTTGAAGTATTACAATTACCAGAAATAAAATTTGCTTTACAGTTTTTCGTAGGATTAAAGTATCCTTCAGATTTGTAATATTAGTAATTATACCCATGACTTTCATACTGCGCAGTACTGGATGATTCTGCTGAACAGTTGTGCACACTTGATTATTTCAAAGATACCGGTTGAATGAAGTGACTACGTCAAACGTAAGAAAAACAATGTACATTCGGCTATTTATTTTTTCTTTCTTGTTTTATTTTCTTATTTTTTTTTGATTACTACTTGATTCCACACCGTATTTTTTGGTACAGGTATGGAATTTTCAGCATGTGATATCGGTAGCCCGAATTCGGCAGGCCGACCATAGATATCAGGTGCGCGTCGGCAGAGGGTCGAACCCCGAACCATATGCATGGTCGGTGAGAGTCCTAACCAGTGTGCCACGGTCGCGCAGTAATAAAAAATCACCAACTAAATTAGTCCAAGTTTTACATTTTCTAGATTGTACTTTCTCTGGCATGTGAAAACCATTTGTCCTAAGTGTAATAATTCCCTATTATAAAAGCTTTTGTTTTTCCCAATGAATGAAAAAAAAACGATACTATTATTTAAGTTAATCTTCATTTCCTGTCAATCGTATATTTTGAACCAGAATGCCTGGCTACTGGTGTCTGAAGAGTAATCTGATCTCATTTTAATTGATGGCGACTAGCAGTGGAATCCAGGAAGAGTATTTCCTCCTATTCGGTAAATGTATCTGCATCCCAGGAGGGTGATGCTGTTCCCGTTAGGACTCAGATTCCAAGCAATTGGTTTCAGTCCCCACCCCGTCGCCACCAAAAAGACTTATTTATTAGTCTACTGGACGACTTTAAGATTTCGAGACATCTCTATTGTAGACAGAACATATGCAAAGGTGTCAAGGAGTCTTTCATCGTTAAATGTCTCCACATAACACTTCTCTGTGTAGAATGAAACCACAAACATGATGGATATTTTTCTAAAATATATAAAAAGTGTTTCGTGACGGTGGGAAAGGAAATCAATCACGTTATTATTTAAGTTTTGATTTTCATGGGTTCGACTGATGCCATAGTTTCATCATGAGCTTACATCAATTAGAGAACCATTGGAAAGCCACTTGGGAGTACTGGACAGCTGTTTAGTCAGCCTAGTTTGGGACTCTTCATCAGTACGCACCCAAGCCACGGGGTTTGAACCCAGGACCTTCTGGTTACAAGGCTAGTGAGCTCGTAGACCATTAAGCCACTGGGACCCGATCCAATGACCAGTCCATGAATTCTAGCTTCTGTCAACTCATGAAATAGCACGACCATCTTCGATGAGTTACTGCCTCACCTTCAACCTGCTGTACCCTATTGGTCACGGCTTCCCACCTCGAAGAAGACACTGCGAAGTGGTCGCGCTATGTCATGAATTGGCAAAAGTTAGAATTCATGGGATGGCCAGTGGATTGGGTTCCACTGTCTTAATGGTCTACGAGCTAGCTAGCCTAGTAACCAGAAGGTCTTGGTTTTGAACCCCGTGGCGTGGGTGCGTACTGACGAAGAGTCCAAAGCTAGGTTGACTAAACAGTTGTCTGGCAGTAATCCCAGCTGGTTTTCCAACGGTTCTCTAACTGATATCAGATCATGTTGAAATCCTCCAACCAATCAAATAAAATCCCTACAAAAAAGCAATACTTGAAAACATAAATCGTCTGTTAAAATCCAGATCTTCTTGGATCTCTAATTGTCGATCCACTGTATACATGGTGTAGATTATATTATCCTAAACGAAAATCATTCATGAATTGAACAACTTAAATGTGTTAGCTTTGACATGAATTTTTACAAACAACATACAGGCATAGCATGTTTTATTTTTTTATTCTATTCTTAGGGTGAGACAAGTTCACAGAAAGGAATATCTTCAAGTTATTTTGAGAAACAAGCACGTTCTGCAACAGCTTTCTGTTCAGTAAGTTCATTTCAATTTTATCTAAAAATTTGAAAATTTCACGATTACCTATTCTGAACTCATTTCTAAGACAATCTGAAAACTCTTCATTCTGAAAGGCTAGTCGTATTGTTGAGAACTGTTGAGACTGCTGAATGGAATCAATAATCTCTCTGGTTTACTAATTTTATTGTTTTTATTATTATTTTTATTGTCATTATTATTCCCTTAGGTTCCGAGTGGAATAAAGGGCTTAAACAACACATCTACGATTTGTTCTATTTTCTGCTCTCCTCTTCAGCTGGGTTTACGATTGCCCATAATCTCCCATCTCCTCCTCACACGATTTCCTCCATGTCACCGTCTATGTGCCGACCCACCTGTCGCTTCCTATTGGGATTCCACTCGAGCGGTGGCCTGAATAGAGCGCGATGTTGTTCGATGGTTTCCTCAATATATTCTCGACCCATCTCCATTTTCGCTCACATTGGTTGGTTTTTTCTCAGCCAGAGTTTCTTGTTGCTAATTGTTTCTGGCCAGCAGGCCATTTGATCTTCAGCATGGAGCCAGCGAAGGAGACAGCTGTTGATGAAAGTTAGCAACCTGTTGGAAATCCTTTTCGTTACACACTGGCCAAGTTTCTGACCCACATAGAAGGACTAAATTGAAATTGGTGTTGAAAATGCTAATCTCGTTGCTTATACTGAATGCGAAAGATCTCCAAACTGGTTTCAGGTTGATGAAGGCGTAATTACTTGCCTTTTCGATTCTGACATCTCCAACCGTCCCGCCCGTAGTTGAAACGATGCTTCCTGGCCAGATAAGTGAAGGAGGAAACCTCATCTAAATCTCTCCCCTTGATGGTTGATGTTGTTTTGCCGTTCGTTGGTTACGTTAGTGATGTAACGGGTGTGAAGACGGTTGATAATTTCACTCGAAATATTACCAGAACAAAAAAACTTTTCATTGTGCGTGTAAACTACTGAAATGTAATTATAATTTATTAGATCCCTTCCACAATGCCCAAACTTTTTACTAACATTAATGACAAGGGTGTTCTATTTCACTAACCGGTTTTTCTTGTTTTGAATGTTCGCCATTAACTAGTAGTGTAACGACAGAAGACAAGAGCCACGCAACAGATCATTTATATTAAGAAAATCAATAGATATTTATAGATTTTCATGCACATTATTGTCAGCAGAGAAGCATCGTCTTCTGATTGGTTGTTTCCTTGTTTAAGATTATCCTATACCGCTTGTGGCCGTTTCTCAGAAAGTTAAGCCATATATCTGCGAATCGTATTTGCAAACGTTAAGTCTGATGTGATTGGTTGGTGAGTCCCTCAAGGCTAAGCTTTGTTATTGCCCTTGAAAGCTAGTTTAGTATATATTGCCTATTCTGAAAGTACCCTATTATTGTTACTACCATTTATTACTATTTTCTGTTTAATTTTAGCCTGCATATAACAATATTACAGCATGTCAATTACTCGCTAATCTGTGTACTCTACAACTCAATACCTTATATGGAGCTGCTACTGATTCAAGTAGTACGTGTTATGAATTTCAAAAGTTAACTACACAACGAACTTCAATTAGTAGTGATTTTACTAGCTGGTAAGAGTTAAAGTACATAAGATCCCTTTTCTTGAATGATTTTTGACTGAAATAATCTGTGTGTGAAATTCAGATGGGGTTTGTTTCTGTTTTCCATAGACTCTTCAGTTGAAATGTAACTGTATTGTAGTTAGGTGACAGTGAAACCAGCTTTTGCTACACTACAAATGCTAAAACGTTACTTGTTAGGCTATTGAACCACAAAAAGTCAGCTCTTGTCAAGTGAGTGAACTCTTAGAATTTAATTTAAGAAATTAGTTGTTCGGAAGACAAGCTCAGTCATTCTAATTGGGCTAATAAATGGGTCATTGTGATTTGATTATTGTTATTATTGTTCCCTTGGGTTCCTAGTGGAACATAGGGCTTCAACTACACGTCTCCACTTGCTTCTGTCTTCTGCTGTACTTTCCATCTACATCCATGTTAGTCCATACTGTTTCAACTCCTCTTCACACGATCTCCTCCATGTCACCCTTGGACGTCCCACTCGCCACTTCCCTTTCGGGTTCCACTCGAGCACTGGCCTGACGCGCGATGTCACCCAGCGGCCTCTTCAGCGAGTGTCCAATTCATCTTCACTTTCTCCTACATATTTGTTGAGCGATTGGTTCTTGTTTTGTTTGTTCCCATAGCTTCTTGTTTCTGATTCTTTCCGGCCATCTGATCTTGAGTACACAGCGAAGACAGTTGTTGGTAAAGGTCTGCAACCTGTTGGAAATGCCCATTCTTTGTGACACACTGGCCAAGTTTCTGATCCGTATAGAAGAAGTGACTTGACGTTTGTATTGAAAATCCGAATTTTGTTGTTGATGCTGAGTTGAGTGACGAAAATTTCCAGATTGGTTTCAGGTTGATGAATGTGTTTCTCGCCTTCCCGATTCTCGATTCGACATCCTCGTCCATTCCTCCAGTAGTTGAGACAATGCTCCCTAGATAAGTGAATGAAGTAACCTCTTTCAAATCCCTTCCGTTGATGGTGATTGGCGCTGGATGTTGCTGCTGTTGTTGTTGTTTGTTGGTTATTTTCATAACATCGGTCTTGTCTATGTTCACCTGGAATCCTGTCTTCTCTGGCTGCTTCTTCGACCAGTTTGTCGGTTTTCGCTTGTAAGTCTTCGATTTTGTGTGACATCAAACATAAATCATCCACACGCGAAATCCAGGTCTTCTAGGTTCTTCACGTCGGTGGTCCAGGATATCCCTGTCTCCTCGTTTCCCACTGTCTGACGCATAATCCAGTCCACCGCAATTAGGAATATCATTGGTGATAATAAGCACCCTTGTCTGACTCCTGTGTTTACTCCAAACGCCTCGCTGAGTTTTCCGTTGTGGATCACTTGATATGTGCCATTGTCGTAGAGCTGTTGAATAAGGTTGGTGAATATTGGGGGTACGAAATAGATGAATGGAGAATAGTAGGTGTCAAGTGTCCAGATCTCAGAGATCCTGAACCTATCGCTGATTTCAGAAGACTACGCTTAATACGCCGAATATTATGCACGGTAAACGACGCGGAACAACAGAAAAAGGTTGGAAAATACCAATGCTTATTCTTCAATCCATAACGAAATGGAGTTACAATTAACTACGGGCGAAGTCTGTAAATAAACGTCAAAATAATGTACAACAATACCTCTGATTGTTTTTCTCCAGTCTTCAACCAATCAGTATACGATTAAGTAACGAAAGCCTTCTTGTCTCCCGCCAAATAGAGACCACTTCGAATAAAAAAACAATTCAATGTTCACCAGCATTGACAGTAGGGATTTGATAGATCTGGAAGATGAGATATAGTGAATGCGTCTGGGCCGTTGATCACAACGATGAAACATGTCAACAGTAACCTTTGGCTAATGGCTATTAAAATCTCAAGGAGCTCAGTCAGGCAGTTTCACCTCCCTAAGTGGCTTGTTGGGATCAATAACCAAAGACTCCATACATTGATTCCATTCTTTTCATCTAACCACCACCAAATTCTTTTCTAGTCTAACAGTGTTAACTGACTGGTTGTCTGTCAGTCTTACATATACTCAAAGTTATTGAAGAATGATATCTGAGTGGTTCATTTTCAGAGTTGACAGCATTCATTCTACACTGACTGACTGGCTGACTGACTGGTTTCAACACCGAACTTTGCACCAATGTGCAGCAGTTCAAGTCGCTACACTTCACTCATCACAAAAAGCCAAAGAAGAAAGTAAAAGAAAGTGCAAAATAGAGACAGTAAACAGAGATATGAGGCAAAAAGAGTGGTAATATCGAAGAACCATATAGTTTCATTGGGTATTATAAGTCACAAGGAGTTGATGCGTATGCGCCATTGAGAACGATGAGTTTGGGCCACATTACCAATTGTCTCCAGCCTTCATTGGTTTTTACTATCCCGCCGACCCTAACCAGGAAGTCTACACGTACCTACGTGACTAGCTAAACCTAACTATTGTGGATTGCATTGACTGATGAAGCCATGTTTTGGTATGACCACTACTGGCTCTTTTCCAACCTGATCCACCCTATGTTAGTCAGCTCACATTGCCCGTCAAGGAAGGCGATGACTAGGCATACGTAACACACGTCCGAGCAATTTCGATCGGTGTAACTTCACAACCTCGTCTGTTGATTACCCCTCTTTACCTAGCATTCGACGCCTAACCTCGATATTGCTCACCTTATTACACCACTTCACACGGGAGATAGAACGCAGACACCTATGATCAAAGACAGCTAGCCAGCCTTTTCATGTCTTCCACTCTCAGTCCCAACGGGTTGATCTCCGACGAAATCTCAGCACGAATACAGAGGGCTAGGTTCGCACATACCAGTTTACGCCGTCTCTGGCGTAGACGTGATATCCGACTATCGACCAAAGGGCGTGTGTACTGCTCATCAGTCCGCTCCGTCCTCCTTTATGCCTGGCTGTGAGACCTGGCCATTGAGAGCAGAAGACATGAAAAGATTAGCTGTCTTCCATCATAGGTGCCTGCGTTCTATCTCCCATGTGAAGTGGTATAATAAGGTGAGGAATATTGAGGTTAGGTGTCGAGTGCTAGGTAAGGAGGGGAAATCAATTAACGAGACTGAAATTACATCGACTGAGATGGTTAGGACATGTGTTACGTAAGCCTAGTCATCGCCTTCCTTGGCGGGCAATGTTAGCTGATATAGGGCCAGGCTGGAAAAGAGCTAGCGGCGGTCAAACGAAAACATGGCACCAGTCAATGAAATCTACAACAGTTAGTCTAAGCCACGTAGGAAGGTGTAAACTTCCTAACTGGTTGGGGTCCTCGGGACGGTAAAAACCAATGGTTGGAAACAATTGGTGACATGGCTCAAAATCGTTGTCAATGGCTGGTGCAGATGCATCGACTGCTTGTGACTCATGATTTCCAATTAAACTGTATTGTTCTTGGTTACTACTATTGCTTTGTCTCTCACCTCTGTTTACTGTCTATATTATGCATTTCTTCTACTTTCTTCTCTTCCTTTGTGTGCTTCATGGAGTGGAGTGTGGCGACTTGAACTGCCGCACATATGTGCAAAGTTCTATGTCGAAAACCGACCGCGACCGACCTTCCACTCTCAATGGCTATGTCTCACAGCCAGCCATAAAGGAGGACGGAGAGGACTGCATCAAGGACTGGATGCATAACATTAGCTAATATTCAGTAACCAATCAAAGCATTCATTATAATCTTACATAAAGTCAGTTACCAGCCCGAATCGCTTACTGGTAATATATCTGCCTATAATACTGGACGACGTGGGTTCGAATCTCAGACGAGATATGAGTTCCCTCAAGATTGTAAATACTTTTTGCTGACGGACGAGTATCAGCCAACAAGCAAGAAATCTATGTCCAGAAAAGGCTTCATCCAGATTGCCTCCAACCATCTAATAATAATAATAATAATAATAATAATTCAGAGTGCACCGTGATGGCGACTCCCCTGGCCTGGTAACCGAATTGCGATCTCCACTGACAGAATTCAGTCTGGGCCAAAACCAAGGATTAGACATACGATATCAGTTGCTATCTAGTGTCCAATCAAAGTCTAGATGGTCAGTGCACTTATCAAACTCAATATTAGTCATAGTGTAACAACAGAAGACAAGGGCCAGGCAACAGATCGTTTATTAAGGAAAATCAACACATATTTATAGATTTCAATGTACATTATTGTAGATTATTGTTAGTAGAAAATAGAGTCTTTTGATTGGTTGTTTCTCACAGAAAGTTAACCTTGCATCTCTTTGTGGCTGTGTCAGATCATCATCCATATGCTAACTGTATCCGCCTACACAAATCCTACACAAATCATTTTCTCACCACCAATATTGGGGACACAAAACTTTGCCATCAATTACTGCCTGTTAGCTTTGGCTAGCAGCCAGCTCTCACCACAATAGTACAATGCATCATCAGAGGCGTAGATTTTACGATATTTTTCTCCAGTCTTCGTGTATTCATACTTACTTTCATCGAGAAGTAATAATAAAGTGGAATCCTGAAACTAATACAGTCTTGAGGGTACACTTTTAAAGAGGTCGAAATTAAGACTAAAGAATCCTCCAGTAATCCTTCGTTTTCAATGATTCTCCAACCAGTTCGCCGGAAAAAGCGTTGAAATTATCTATTACAGTTTATCGCCCAGGTTTTTTGGAACTATTCGGCCAAATCTTGATCACAGTTCATATGAAGGATAATGCAGTTTTTATGTGAATTAACTTTAACGAACTTTGTCGACTATATTAAACGATGTATCACATACTTTGTGGTAAGTATCTACAATATGTTGCAATATAGATGAATTGGTACCTCTACGCTCTCTTATGGTCAACCAAGCTAGGGATTGCTGTCAAACGGGGCGGGATATATTTCTCAACGAACATCCTATGTACCTAGCTCCACAAGAGCAGGTGCAAATGTAAATACATAGGGAATTGGACAATCGAGGTAACATTTCCTTGACATTAAGGTACACCAGTGGATGGCTAGAGTAGTTTATTCGTAAAGTGGCAACATAGGACGTTTTTATCAATGATCTCATCAGACGATTTTTAAGTATCTCACTCATATTGTTATCCCTAACTTCTAAGTTTAAGTGCGTCACTTTTTTTAGCTACTTTCTCAATCTCTGTATTTCTTCCACATAATTTGGTAATGACTTCTACGAAGCGTAATGGATACCTGTTCTCTATGAGGGTTTCTTTCAATTGTTTGAGTTCTTCATCAGCACTATCTTCACTACAACTTCTCCTTACTCGTGCTGAGACTGAACAGACTAGATTACTTTTTCTGTCTATAGGGAGAAAACTGTAAAAATTGGTCACTTGTCCTGTCCACCTCGATTTTCTGTAAATAGATCTTTTCACAGACCCGTCAGTTTCTTTTTTAAAGTGAATCGGATAGCAGGATGACTGTCTTTGAATACTTTCAGAATGTCATCCAAATAGCAATTCTCGTCCCAAATAAAGAACGTGTCATCCACGTATCTTTTGTAGAAGTTAAGCCCCTTTATAGCAGGTGGGTGAGTACTGCTTTCCATACTAGGCAGAAAGAAGTCTGCTAGCAACGGACCAAGTTGTGAACCCATAGCTCTCCCATCTCTCTGTCTATAGATTTCATTGTTGAAAAGAAATTTGACATTTAGAGTACATCGAAGTATGAGCTCTTTTAGGTATGATGTGAGCATTCCTGTATTCACTTTATGTAAGTCGGTGTAATCACAAATGAAGCATACTGTTTCGTTAAATAAAAAACATTAGTAAACAGCCAGAATACATCAAGTGATAACATAGTTTAACCCAGTAATAGTAATCAATAATGTGAATCATTCTTCATTCATTTCAGAACCTGTATGACTTTTTTCCTCTATGATTTTCCTGTCTTGTTCTTCTCACGTCCGGGTTTCTGAAATTTTGTCAGAATAATCTTTCCGATCCATTATTACAATCCATGCACCTTTTCCTGCTCGATTTAGTGGGATATTCTGATTATATATATACGATTGTATAGCTACGAAAATGGAACCGTCACAAAGAGAATTTTCTCAGCTTTGTGCCCCTGAAATACAAACGCAGTCTGATAAAGTGCTTGGTCCACAGAGCAAGAGAGATTTGCTCAGATGAATATCTTGACGAGGAACTTAACAACATGAAACGGTTGTTAAGTGAGAATGGCTATCCTGAAAAGTTTATTGATAAGAATATGAATCTAAAACCAAATCAGCCCAAGTTACCAACAGTTCCAAAAATGGCCTTGTTCTTACAGATGCAGTTTCTAGGAGACAACACAAGTGAGATACTAACACATCGCCTTAGAAATGCGGTCAAAACAGCGTTCCCTGCTGCTGAATTACGCTGTATCTTTAAAACCACTCCTCTTCTGCGTTCGGGAATAAAAGACAAACTGCCTAATTTCGCCTCTTCCACGTGTATATACCAATTTAACTGCTCCTGTAGAGCCAGTTACATAGGCCGTACAATTAGGCGTGTTTCGCGTCGAATTTCCGAACATCACCCTGAGTGGTTGGTTAAGTAAAGGACAAACAAAATCTATTCGCAGCGCTAACCTGTTTCATCTTGTAGAGACAGAACACAAGATTGACGTTAATCATGCTTTCAGAGTCATGTACCGCATACCTACGAATCTCAATTTCGCTTTAAGATTTCGACTTCTAAATATTGCTGAGGCTGTGGGGATCCATATTAACAAGCCTAATTTATGCATCCAAAAGAAGTTAGTTCAGACATTACCATTACATTGGCCATCCAGGTTTGAATAATCCGGAATTTTTGTGGAATTGTAGAGCCTGGAAGAGGAATTTATCGAAAAGAATATTCTTTGCTCGATTATTTTGTGTTTTATAAAGAGAATTTTCTGCGCTGAATTCTTTGTTTCCCAGTCTCACTTGGGATTGTTCACTTGGTGCCAGTTCGTGATTAATCTTGAGACCAGTTGAATTCCTCTAGACAAAGAAATAATCAATAATTATTATCAAGTGCTAATTTACAGAGATTTGATTGGTTACGAGACTGATCACGGGCTGATATCAGTTAGAGAACCATTGGAAATCTTGGGAGTTGGGATTCATGGACTAATGGGTTGGGTCCCAGTCGGATGGATAGTCTGCGAGCTTGCCTTGTAGCCGGAAGGTCTTAGGTTCTGAACCTGTTGGATAAGTGTTGTTGAAGAGTCTCGAACTAGGACGAAACAGCTCGTGATCAATCCTACAATTGTTAATTATTCTCATTATCACAATCCGTTTCTTTAGAAGGAATTGACGCTATATTTCCCCCTGTTATTACTGTCTCCTTTCTTCCTAGGATGAATAAAATGCCATGGCTATATTATAGCCCAGCAAAAGGATCAACAGTTCTCAAAGATACCTCATTAACAGCCATATATAAGCCTAATTCTGAACTGAAAGTTTATTTAGCTGCATTTAAAGTAAACGGGGAGTTTTTAGGCTTTCAAGATGCAACACAAGGTGGACAATTGCAGTTGTGTAAAGATACATCAGCTCGAATGAAAGCTGCCTATCAGTTTGCTACTGCATATCAACAAACCGTAAGTTTATTTTTTCTTCGGAACAACTTTTACTATTTAAATGATTTGAGTAGTAAAATATGAAGTAATAAAAAGTCCCTTGGGTGTATTCTGTTGAAGTCACAATGTTTCCATTATTATCATATGAGTAAAATTTGGGTACTGTGATAGTGGTAAGTAGTTCCGTATTAATCTGCTTATTGGATATATCACACACAGAGTGAATCGGCATTATTTGCTGGATGAGAAAGTTTCAAACACAAATTTTTATTCTTCACAATCATATGGGCAATCATAACTACACCACTTCTAAACTTTCGTTTTCTTAGTTTTCTCTGTTCCTTCCTATTCGTCGTAGGGGTAGTGGTGTTACGACAGAATACAAGGGACAGGCAACAGAACCCTTATTGAGAAAATCAACAGATATTTATAGATTTTTATGTACATGATTATTCGTTATTGTTAGCAGAGAAGCAACATCTTCTGACTGGTTGTTTTCCTGCTAAAGGTTATTCTGTCATCTCTTTGTTGCCGTTTCTTAGACAGTTCGTTGATATATCTGCGAATCGTATATGCCCACGTTAAGTCTGCTGTGATTGGTTGTTGAGTTAGTCTTTGTTCTTGTTTTTCTCATGACCCAGATTTGAGACGTAAACATTGACGTAAATTGCTGTCTACCAATTTTGCCTAGCATACAGCTCTCACCACAGTAGAATTTCTCAGATGTCCGTGTAAACAGGTGTTGAATCATTCCTACTATATGCATTTTCAGTTGATTCGATAAATAAAGCCTCCATTATCAATCTCTCCCTCCACCCTGTGACATTAGATTTTAAAACTGTCATGTTATACCCTCTTATTGTATGGCTGTGTTTATTTGCGTGTAGCTGATCTGTTCTCCAGATTTCTTATCTCATTAGGATAAACTAATCTAGATTTTGCTAGGTTTCTGTGCTCCACTAGTCTGACTGACTCCGTTCTACTACTAGTTTGATCTACGTATTTGACCTAACAATCATTGCAGGATATTACATTTTGCTTTGTTCAAGCGGCTCTAACCGAAAAAGCCGGTTTCTAGTTGAGTTTTTGGGTGACTGAATGCAACTTTTATCTCTGCGCTTTCCTACAAATTAGCAATTATTAACAGAAACATAGTCATCAGTAGTACTTCCATACAAAGAAGGAACCTTGGAAGGCTTCTAGAAATTCAGATGATATTAGCTTTATTGTTTCCCCTGTCTACATTTTCCAAGTCAATTCGATGTCCATAATTGTCTACATGGGTTAATATGGAGCAGGAATACAAGTCTCATCTTTTCACAGCTTGCTAGTTTACGTTCCTCATCTGCAATATAAGCGAAGAATTTGTGGCCAGTGTTACCACAATAACTTCTTACCTTGACTATGATCATGGCTGCGAAAGAAACCAAATGTATTTTGACGTTGTTTTTTTCTGACTTAATTAATGTTGATAACTAACATGGATCTCTGGGAGTGAACGAACCAACCCAGCGGGAACCGATTGTGCAACAAATATGCAGGAAGAGATGGACGTGGATTGGCCATACTCTGAGAGAAAAACCCATCATCAAATGACATTCATCACACGCCGGGCCATCGCTCGAGTGGAATCCGACGGAATGAGAAGTGGCGAGTTGGTCGTCACTGCGACGGTGACATGGAGGAGGTCATGCGAGGAGGAGATGAAAGCACGTGGGCAAACGTGGAGCCGGGTCAAAACGTTGGCAGAGAACCGAACGCAATGGAGACGTGCGGCTGAAGCCCTATGTTCCTCTAGGAATTAAAGGAAACAATAATAATAATATTTTCAAGTATTGGTTTTTTAGGGATTTTGTTTGATTGGATGGAGGATTTCATCAAGAGCTGACATCAATTTGAGAACCGCTGGAAAACCTGGAAGTACTGGACAGCTGCTTAGTCAGCCTACTTTGGGACTCTTCAGCAGTACACACCCGCCGGAGTTCGAACCATCGAGCCACTGGTCTATGAGCTCGTCTTGTAACTGGAAGTTCCTGGGTTCGAACACTGGCGGTGGGTGCATACTGCTGAAGAGTCCCAAACTAGGCTGACTAAACAGCTGTCCAGTACTCTCAGGTTTTCCAGCGGCTCTCTAACTGATGTCAGCTCATAATGAAATCCTCCATTCAATAGTAATAATAACTATGTTTTATTATTTATCGAAATTGTTATTATTATTACTACTTTTCTCCCTCTTGTTTTGTTTTAGTGTGAATTGAATGTTGATGATTTATTCAGCAATGAGAAATATCCGCTAATATTTTATGATCCATGTATCCTTTTGTTTAAGATGATAATATTTCTCGATGACTGCGATCCTGATTATCCTGAACAAGACAAGTAGTAGTTCTGTAGCGAACGGCCTGTTTTTGGCGGCGAATCTATTTTCCTCCGGCTGTACAGTTGCATTTATATACAACTACCTTTTTCATGAAATAGGATAGTGATGAGTATTCACAAACATAGTTGTTAATATTAAGATCAATGCAAAAGAGGCGTTGAATAGATGTATTAGAGTCACGTTATAAGGTTTCGAATAATGTAATGAGTGAATTGTGATCATGGTGCACATTAGAAACGAAAGAAACTGTGGAATTTTTTAAGAGATTTAATGAAATATGAGAGTTACAAGGTGTTAGAAATACAAGTAAACAAAAGTCAAGACATCAGGAATCAACAAGGTTGTCGCCATGATAGTAGAAGTGGTTGAATATTTTTATTTTTTACGCCTAACTCTGGTTTTTCTAACTGAATAGCTAAGGTTTCAGCAATGCAGTCAGGAGACGAAAGTGTATTGTCTGTCTTTGGCAGATTATTCACCACTTTGTAAATTACTTTGAAAAAGATGGAATGACCAGTGTTGACAAGGTGTTTGGTTATCGTAGTTCTTATAGAGCTACAAAAAAGTAATAACGGCTCTATAATGTAACGTGAAAGTTTTAGTACATCTTCAAAGAATCTGAGATATGTTATTCTCTCTTCCTTCAGATGAATTTGCATACATAATTAGAGTTAATATGAGAAGGGTATCTATTAATCTTTGATTGCATCAAAGAGTTTGTTGTTCGATAAACGGAAACCAATTTGATTGCAGGATAGGTTCCAGCTAGAGAAGTTTTCAACCTTCTGCTTATTATTCCTGCATTATTATCGCCTTTGCAAATCGAGTTGGATGACGATAGGTTTCTTATATACTGTGGTTTGTTTCAACTCTAGATTTACAGATCTTGTATACTTTTTGATGAATTTTGGGGGATAACTATTATTTTTCAAAACTTTCTCAATGCTTAGGAGTTCTTCTAGTATTTCTGTGGAGCATAATCTTTGGGCTATGTAAAACAGAGTTTTGATCAATGCTTGTTTGTGGTTAATTGGGCAAAAAGTATTGAAGTTTAAGTACAGTTCACTCTACTTGAATTTTAGACCAGTGGATATTTGCAGACTCCCATCTTCCAAGCGTTGTATCACAATATCGAGGAAATAGAACTTTCCATCAATTTCATGTGCCATTGTGAAGTCAGTATTCTCATGTGCGTCTTTGTCATCAACATTTCGACAATATGAAGTTGTCTCATTGACCACACCTTTCGGTTCTGTTATCTAAAGATCAAACATGAAGATAAGTGTATTAGAAAAGGGATTAAATTTCAAACATGGAGATGTTTGCTAGTATTGGACCTAGTGGACCACCTATAACTCGTATTTGACTGCTGATTTGAGCCAACCACATAGTGAGGTATGCACTCTCTGGTTGGGGTCTTCGGGATACAAAAAACCAAATGGTTGGAGACGTATGCTGATACGACTCGAAATCGTTATAAATGGTGTTGACACATTCACTCTTTGTAATCGCCGAGGACCGCTAGACCACTATATGTTTCTTCAGGGTGACCATGCCGCATTGAAAACACCGGTTCTCGTTCGATCACTGAAGTGTAATATGTTTCCGTGTTATCAGTGTTTCTCTCATAGATTTCTGCTTATTACAGATCTGAATTTGAATTTATCACCGAGCACTTCGATCTAATCAGTCGACGGGAAAATCTAAAATTGAATTAATTGTTTATATCTTTGTTTCAATTTCCTCACGGGATATAAATTCTTAAAAAGAAAACTTATATATATATATATGTCTGATTTCCCACAAACTGAAATATATACAAGTGAAAAGCAACAATTTGGCAGAAGGAGGATCAAAGATAGGACATCCTTCAGATGAACATGGAGAAAACAGAAGTGATGAAGATTCCGGGACAGTACTAACAGCAACAACAACAACAGACAACGATCAGCATAAATGGGAGGAACCTGAAAGAAACAACCTCTTTTACCTACCTGGGAAGCTTCGTCTCAATTACAGGTGGAACTGATGAGGATATCAAAGAGAGGATCGGGAAGGTAAGATAAGCTTTCAATACTCTCAAGTCTGTGTGGAGGTCAACAGAACTCAACATGAAAAATAAGATCCGGATTTTCAATTCCAGTGTGAAGTTAGTGCTACTATACGGAGCAGAGAGTTGGCGCGTCATGAAGAGCACCTCAAACAAACTACAGAACTTCATCAGCAGCTACCTTTTCTCAATACTGAAAAGATCAGCAACAGGGATCTCTGGGAGCAAACCAACCAGAAACCGATTGTGTAACAAATATGCAGGAATAAATGGAGATGGATTGGCCATACTCTGAGGAAACCATCAAGTGACATCACACGCCAGGCTATCGCTTGAGTGGAACCCGGCCGAAAGGGAAGCGGCGAGTTGGTCATCAGTGCGAGGTTGACATGGAGGAGGTCATGTGAGGCGGAGATGAAATTATGCGGGCAAACGTGGAGCCAGGTGAAAACGTTGGCGGAGAATTGAACACCATGTAGACGTGTGGCTGAAGCCCTATGTTCCTCTAGGAATTAATGGAAATAATGATAATAATATTATTATCCACAGATGACCTTGACCTAAAACGAGAGAAAAGACCGTCCGATGTTTCGACGCTGTTGATGTGGTCAGTAAGTACTGCTGGTTGATGTGAACAGCATCCAACTACTTATAAAAGTCAATCAGTAGTATGAACTATTATAAGTAGTATAAACTGTCATGCATTAATATCTGCTTTGTTGATTAACATTTATGTTATCCGAAAGATGACATACCATGAAGCGAGAAATTTCGATTTCCACAAGAAACTTTAATGAAATTCCAACCTGCTCAAATTGTATAAATTTTTAACTTTTTAATTCTCTTCAAAACTGTCCTTCTTTAACTCAACTAAACTGCCTTCTATTGCAAATAGACATTTACTTTTATGATAATACAACGCAAGCGGGCAAACTTGTCCCTATCCCAATACGTAATACAGCTGTAATTGATAAGAATGCAAATTTTCCAAATCAAATTACAACAACAGATCAGAATAGTTTAAATGAAGCCCTGGCACTGGGGAATACAGCGTCAGCTGTGTCGATTGAAGCTGCAATACAAGATAAATGGGAGTTGACACGTCGTTTGTTTATGGTGGATAATTTTGCTGGCGTGACATCTTCATCAACGACAAGTAAGTGGTATTATTGTTTTTTTGAGAGTGAGTGGGCTTTTTTTTAATCATTATGATTCGTTTTTGTTATGAAGTGATCGCAGTTATTTTTCTTTAATTTTTGATTAAAGCTTGACTCCACACCGTATTTTTGGTACAAGTATGGAATTTTCAGCATGTGATATCGGTAGCGCGAATTTTGTACGCCGACCATTGATATCAGGTGTGCGTCGGTAGAGCACTGTATTATTATTATTGTTTCCTTTAATTCCTAGAGGAACATAGGGCTTCAGTCGTGCGTCTCCATTGCGTTCGGTTCTCTGCTAGAGTCTTCACCTGGCTCCAAGTCTGCCCACACGTTTTCATCTCCTCTTCACATGACCTCCTCCAAGTCACCCTTGCACTGACCACCAACTCGCCGCTTCCCAATCGGGTTCCACTCGAGCAATGGCTTGTCTAGTGATGTCACTTGATGGCTTCCTCAGAGTATGGCCAATCCATCTACCTCCATTTCCTCCTGCCTACTTGTTTCACAGTCGGTTCCTGGTTGGTTCGCTCATTGCCAGAGATCTCTGTTGCTGATCTTTTCTGGCCATCTGATCTTGAGTAGAATCGAGCGAAGACAACTGTTAATGAAGGTCTGTAGTTTGTTTGAGATGCTCTTTATGACGCACAGTGCAAGTCTTTGATCCGTATAGTAGCACTGACTGACTTCACATTGGAGTTGAAAATCCGGATCTTATTTTTGATGCTGAGTGCTGTTGACCTCCACACAGAATTGAGAGTAGTGAAAGCTTGTCTTGCTTTTTCAATTCTTACTTTGATATCCTCGTCAGTTCCGTCGGCCTGTAGTTGAAACGAAGCTTCCCAGGTAGGTAAATGATGTTTCTTTCAGGTTCCTCCCATTTAAGCTGATCGTTGTCTGTTGTTGTTGTTGTTGCTGTTGGTGGTGTTGCCCAGGAATCTTCATCATCTCTGTCTTCTCTACTTTCACCTGAAGGCTTATCTTTGATGCTTCTTCTGCCAACTTGTTGCTTTTCGCTTGCATATCTTCCAGTTTGTGGGAAATCAGACATATATCATCGGCGAAGTCCACATCCTCCAAGTTTTTGTGTGAGTCCGTTTTATGGCTGTTTCCTCATTGCCCGCTGTTTGTCGCATTATCCAGTCTACTGTAATCAGGAAAATCATTGGCGATAGTAGGCAGCCAGCTTGTCTTACTCCTGTCCTCACTTCGAAGGATTCCTTGAGTTTCCCGTTGTGGATTACTTGTCGTGGAGCATTGTCGTATAGCTGTTGGATGAGATGCATAATAGGTAGAATAGTGCTGCGAACAGATTTTTAATTTAATTAACCAACCTTGCAGAGTGATGTTCAGAAATCCGACGAGAAACACGCCCAATTGTACGGCCTATGTAAGTGGCTCCACAGGAGGATTTAAATTGGTGTTTCTCGTCCAATTTTCGAACATCACACTGAGTGGTTGATTAAGTAAAGTACAAACGAAATCTATTCGCATAGTGCTATGCTATCTCGTCTTGTAGATACAGAACAAAAGATTGATGTGAACGAGGCTGCTTCCAAAGTCACTTACCGCATACCAACAAATCTTAACATCGCCTTAGGGGTTCGTCTAGTACATATTGCAGAGTCTGTTGGGATCCACATTAAGAAGCCGAATTTTTACGTCCAAAAGAAGCTAGTTCAGACATTATCCTTACCTTGGCCATCTAGGTTCGAATGATCCTCAATTTTTGTGGAAATTTCCCCAATTTTAGTTGATATTCTATTTGCTATTATATTATTTTTATTATTATAATTTAAGCATCTTTAATGAACTGTATTTCCATTGTGATCTTACTTTACAAATCGATATTATTTAAAAGACGCTAATATTGTTATTGACTACTATTCTAGAATATTCTATGTAAATAAACGTAAGAATATATAATTTTAGAGCCAGAAGAGGGGGAAATTATCGAAGAGGATATTCTTTGTCCAATTATTTTGTGTTTTATAGATGTCTGAATGAATATTTTTGCTATGCCTCCATTTCCTTGGTTCGTTCGTTCCCAGAGTTCCTTACTGACTATCCTTTCTTTCTGGCCAGTCACCTGGTCCTCAATGTGGAATCACCAAAGGCAGCTGTTGATAAAAGTCTGCAGTAACCTGTTGGAAATGCTTCTTGTGACTCTGGGCCAAGTTTCTGACCCATATACAAGAACTGACTAAATAAACATTTGTGTTGAAAATTCGAGTTTTGTTCTTTTTGCTGAGTGAAGCCAATTTCCAAAGTGATGTCACCGTGATGAAGGTGTACCTTGACTTTCTCATTCTAGGTTTTGACATTCTCATTTGTGCTTTTGCCTGTGTAGTTAAAACGAAGCTTCCTCGATAAGTGAAGGAACTGAACTCCTTCAAATTTCTTCCACTGGTATTGATTAGTGCCTGTTTTTGTTGTTGTTGGTTTGTTATCTGCATCACCTTCATCTTTTCTATGTGCACTTGAGGTCCTGTCCTTCGTGCTTCTTCTACCAGTTTGTTGGTTTTCGCCTGTAATTCTTCAAATTTATGTGATATAAGATATATGTCATCTTCGAAGTTTAGATCTTCTAGAGAGTCTTCTTACTGACAAGAAGTATCCCTGTCTTCTCACTCCCCCAGTCTTCTGGATGACCTAGTCCTTCATAATTGGGAATATCATCGTGGGTGATAATAGGCAGCCAACCTTGTCTTACTCTTGTATTCCCTCCAAAAGTTTCACTAAGTTTTCCTTTGTGGATCACTTGACAAGTGGCATTGTCTTTAGGTTTAATTATCTTACAAGATGTTAATCTATTGATTTCATGCACCACCTGCTGTCTAACAGGTGCTAGGCAGTGGCACCATCAAAGACTTTTGAATCCTTCAGATGCACGTTTCTCGGATTATGCTCAGATTTGCTATCACAAATCCATCTTTCTCTTCATCCGATGTATGAGCATTTTAGTCAGTTAGTCATAACTAGTCTTGCAGTTGGATACTTTCGCTTGACAGTATGGGTTTACTCTCTCTGTTTAACTCCTTTAGGTACGCCATCATCGTTGAGTTCAAGATTAGGGAAGAGTTGTTTCTACTCAACTGTATCAAATGTTTTGTCTTAACATTTAATATTCTCTTCAGTCAACCGATGAATTTTTGAGAATATCCGTTTTCTCGTAAACACATTTTTCAGTGATGCTGAGATCATCATTAAGTCTTTCATTCGATGGAAGTTTTCCACTGTTGTAGTAAAACAAGGCAGAATAAACATCAAAGATAGGCCTTCAGGTGAACATAGAGAAAACAGAGGTGATGAAGATTCCTGGGCCACACCACCACCAACAACAGACAACAATCAGCATAAATGGAAGGAACCTGAAAGAAACTACCTCCTTCACCTACATACCCTGGAAGCATCTTTTCAACTACTGGTAGATGGAACTGATGTGGATATCAAAGCAAGGATCGGAAAAGCAAGACAGGCTGTCACTACTCTCAATTCTGTGTGGAGGTCAACAGCACTCAGCATCAAAAATAAGATCCGGATTTTCAACTCCAATGTGAAGTCAGTCAGTGCTACTATACGGATCAAAGACTTGCACTGTGCGTCATAAAGAGCATCTCAAACAAACTACAGACCTTCATTAACAGTTGTCTTCGCTCGATTCTACTCAAGATCAGATGGCCAGAAAAGATCAGCAACAGAGATCTCTGGCAATGAGCGAACCAACCAGGAACCGACTGTGCAAGAAATAAGCAGGAAGAAATGGAAGTGGATTGGCTGGCCATACTCTGAGAAAACAAACCATCAATTGAGTGACATCACACGCCAGATCATTACTCGAGTAGAAACCGAAAGGGAAGCGGCGAGTTGGTCGTCAGTGCAATGGTGACCACATGGAGGAGGTCATGTGAAGAGGAGATGAAAGCATGTGGGCAGAATTTAAGCCAAGTGAAAACGCTAGCAGAGAACCGAACGCAACAGAGACGCGCGGTTGAGGCTGTTCCTCTATGAATTAAAGGAAATAATAATAATAATAAATAATAATTAGAACAATGTGCTAACCAGACCTTTCTCAAAGCTAATTGGACCAAAACTATTCGAAATTCAGATATAATCCATTCCAAATCTCTTTATATAAATATTATATTTGTATACCCCCATCTATAGTTCGTAAATGTCTGGGATCCAAACAGGGGAACTTTCAGAAAACTGTTTTAAGGTTTCAGTCAACCTGTACTATCAGGTCCCCTAATGTTCACGTTACCATACACATAGATTATTGCAACAAGACTTTACCAGTCATGTTATTCAAGTGAGAGATATAAAACATTTTGATGTTGACCTCACCATACGACACAAAATCAACAGATAAATTTCCTGAACATAAATCAGTGAATTCAAGTGTTGGTTTCTAGGGATTTGATTGATTAATTTAATAATTTCCATTGTAGCACTGAGAACACAATATTCAGCGAAGAGACCCTTTTCAACAACGAATTTATTATCAAGCTGTACAATCGTATATATATGGTTTTTATAAAAATTATATCCGGTGAGGGAATCAGGTCAAAGGTGGGAATACATGAAATAATAATAGCTGTAGTGTGAAATGCAATTGAAATATTTGTGATTATAATCATAGTTAAATGTCAAGTGGCAAAACAATTAATGTCATATATAGAATAATACATCAGGTGTATAGATTTTGGAAAGGGGTACATAATTATAGGATTAGTAGGCGAATATAAAATGTTACATAATATGGTGTGAAATTTGATAAGATAGAATTCAATATTGTAAAAATATAAAAATATAAAAATTAATAATTTCGGGTTTATAATGACAAGTGGGTCAAATGGAAACAATTCAAAGTGAGAATAGTTATAATAATAATAATAATAATCGTAGTAATGGGAAAGGTACATAGAGTAACTAAATAAATATAGGGTATGGTTGAGTTTGTGTACTTGCTAGTGCGAGCATATAGTTTTCTATGTAGTCTTCTGGTTTTACCTGATGAGATGCAGGGGGAGAGTTGTGAGTGAAGAGGGTGGTGTGAGTTAGGTAAAATGGATTTGACCCATTTTTCACATTTTTCAAAATCTAAAATTAAATTAAATAATCTTAAATAGTTTGAAATAAACTTTCTTTTACATCTTTTAATTCTTCTTTCTTTCTTTCTTTCTCTGTATCTTCAAAGTGCCTCAATTAGTTCGTTATGCATCAAATATTGAAATAAAAGTAACAACACAAGATTCTTCTACAGATGGACAAATATTTCCACCAATTATCAAAATTGATTATTCAAATTTATACCTAAGTGATGATTATGGTAAAGGGAAACAGGTTCCGGTAAGTAGAGATCAAAAAGATGCTTGTTTTTTGTATATGTGTAAAACTTCAGCACTGTGGTAGTAGTAAGTAATTGCATATTAATTTGTTTACTGGACATATCACACAGAATGAAACAGTATTATTTACTGGATGATAAAGTTTTGAAAACAATTTATTATTGTTCACAATAGTACCTGATGCATGGAAAGACATCAAAATTGTCCCTGTCCCTAAACCTGGAAATGGCAAGAACGTAAAGTTCAGACCCATTGCCATCACTTCCCCGTTTCTAAAGGTTATGGAAAAACTAATACTTCTTAAACTCGAACCGTCCCTTAAAAACTTCGAAGACCCAAAACAATTTGCCTATAGACAGGGTAGGAGTACATTAGACGCTGCAGCTGTCTTACACAACAACATTGTCTCATCATTAGATAAAGGTGCTAAATACGTCCGCTGCACGTTTCTTGACTTCACTTCTGCTTTCGACTCTGTTCCTAGATGTCTCCTTCTAAATAAGCTCTCTTTGACGAAAACTGAGTCCTGGGTCACTAACTGGTTGCATTCCTACTTCTCTAACAGAAAGCAGTACACCGTATACAAAGGTAAATCATCCTCTGCTGCACTCACTGAAGCCGGAGTCCCCCAAGGCGCTGTACTCTCCCCACTTCTCTTTTCCTTCTTTCTACATGACTTACCATCTTCAAATGACATTAATTTTGTCAAATACGCTGATGATCTGTCTGCATCTTTGCCTATCAAATGTCAAAGCGACTGCTCTAAACTTAATGGCTTTCTGTCAGAAATCAACCAGTGGTCCAAGGAAAATGGTCTTACTCTAAACCCTTCCAAATGCCAAACAGTCAATTTCACCTTTAGGCATAAATCCGACCTAAACAAACTGTTTGGCTCTCACGAGGTATGCAACATAGACGGCACTGAAATAGAAACTAAATCGGAAATTACATACCTAGGTGTCATTCTATCTGCTGATCTCTCCTGGTCGTCTCATATCTTAGCAATTTCTAAGAAAATATTCCGTCTTGCCTTCTACATTAAGAAGTTAAAACATTCTGGTATTACCCAACCCCTACTCCTACAATTCGTTAATTCTCGCATCCTGCCTATTATTCTCTATTGTTCCCCCTTAGTTTTTCCTGGGCTACTGAAGAAAGACTACAACATATTACGCAGGATGTTAAATGTTGTCAGCAGAGTAAGCAATGTGCCACTTAACCAGCTTGTTAATATTTTGGTTGACAGGCACATGGACTCATGTGAAAAATGGGCCAAGTCCATTTTATCTAACTCACACCACCCTCTTCACTCACAACTCTCCCCTTGCATCTCATCAGGTAAAACCAGAAGCCAATATAGAAAACTATATGCTCGTACCAGCAAGTACAAAAACTCAACCATACCCTACTTAGCTCGCGTTCTGTGTGATAAAGAAAGCATTAGGCGTGACACCTATAATTCATTAAATAGTCAGTAGTACAACTGGATCTCATCTTTCCAACCCACTTCATCAATAGGTTCAACATTTCCTTTCTTTCTGTTCCTGTCCTCTCTCTTCTTTTTCCGTTATGTGCTGCTTTGTTCTCTTTCTTTCGCTTACGCCAGTTAATAAGACAGCTCCCACTTTTCTAACACCTTCAAACACTGTTTCAGCTTTACCTTTGCTACTGAATCATGCCAATGTATTGTTGTAATAATGAACTGTGGTTTCCTCAATCTATGTAGAATTCTATTTTATTGACAATGTACTAACTGGATGCAATACTGTAGTAAAAATGCTGAGAATTCCATTCTGTATCACAAGTACTGTTTTGGAATAAAGCAAATTATTATTATTATTATTATTATGACCAATTATAGCTATACTACTTCTAAACTTTCGTTTTATAGTTTTTTCTATTCTTTCCTATTTGTTGTAGGGGTTGTAGAATTTTCCAGATATCTGGGTGGACAGGTGTTGAATCATTCCTATTACACGTGTTGGTTTGCAGTTGATTCGATAAACAAAGCTTCTGTTATCAATCTCTCCCTCCACCCTGTTACATTAGATTTTAAAACTGTCATCCTATCCCATCCTATTGTATGGTTGTGTGTAATTGCATGTAGTGTAGTGCTGTAGCTGCTGAACTGTTGTACAGATTTTTTGTCTTATTAGGTTCAAATAATCTAGATTTTGTTAGGTTTCTGTGCTCCGTTATTCCGACTGCACCTGTTCTAATACTTTGTCCTATGTATTTGACCTGACAATCATTGCAGGCAGGGTATTAGATAAACTGAATTGTTTTGTTCTAAAGGCTCCACAGGATTGATCCTGTAACCGACAAAGCTTGCTTCGAATTGAGTTAGTGGGTTTGAATGCCACTTTTATTCCTACCTGTATTGTTAAGAACTGTCCTTAAGGTTTCCGAGGTTCTTTCTTTGTATGGAAGTACTACTGGTGACTAGCGGAGTGCAAAAATCCCTTGAAATCTGGATTAGTTGATCCGAATAAGATAAGAAATCTAGAGAATAGTTCAGCTATATCACTCACTACATGCAATTACACACAACCATACAATAGGATGGGATAAGATGGCAGTTTAAAAATCCAAAAATAACTGAAATGGTGGAGGGCGAGATTCATAACGGAGGCTTTATTTATCAATTCAACTGCAGATATCTGTAAAATTCTATTACCCCTACGACAAATACGGAAGAATAAAGAAAACTAAAATACGAAAGTTTGAAAGTAATTCGATTATAACTGATATAATTATGAACAGCAATAAACTGTGTTTGAAACTTTGTCATCCAGCAAATAATACTGTTGCACTCATTGTGTGTGATGTATATCTAATAAACAAATTAACATTGCTCTATGTGTATCTAGGTACACTCATATATCATGCGAGCATTTGTCTATCACAGTTTCATCCTGATACTACTTGACTAGTTGTGGCTAGCAGTAGTATATAAAATACACATTTCGTCCTACCACCACTTTAGTGGTGTTCGCAAGTCTTGGTAATAGAAGTTGGCCATCGTTGCAAACGTCATGAGTAATGAGGATGTAAATACTGTCAGACGAAGAGTCTTAGTATAGCACTAAACATTCTGCATGGATTTCTTTACTTTACTTCTTCACAAGTTAATCAGTTTCAGTCTTCACGTGAAAGGATAATCAGAGTGTCCATACGACGGAAAAAAAATCAATATTTCAAGAGGTACTGTATATTTCATAAATAAGATATTTTAGAAGTTCCCTCTACATATCCGTTTTCCATCGTGAAAGGCATGTCGAGACTGCCTACCATCATCGACGATATTTCTAAGTTTGTTGGAATGAATCATGAAGCAGGCCGTGGAGAAGAGAGAGAAGACAAGAGTACATTGGATCGACAAGAAGACGCTAGAAGATTTGGACTTCGCGTATGATTTATGTCTAATCTCAGACAAATACGAAGACTTACAGGCATGGGGAAAACCAACAATTTGGTTGAAGAAACAGCAAAGAGAGAAAATCAAGTGAACGTAGAGAAGAGGACAGAGGTGATGAAGATCCCTAAATAACGAATAACAAAAACAACAAGCACCCATCACTAACAACTGGAGAAATTTCAAAGAGATTACTTTTTTCACTTACCTGACCTAGGCAGAATCGTTTCAATTACAGACAGAATATCAAAGGTAGAATCGGAAAAGTAAGGCAGATCTTCATTACGCTGAAATAAATGTGAGAATCTGACGGGTTCAGCAGAACCAACAAGATTTTGATTTCTAGCATTAACTTCAAATCAGTGCTTCTATATGATTTACAGAATTTTTATGTCATGGAAAGTAATTCCAACAAGTTGCAGTCTTTTATTAACATCTGCTTTCGCTCAGTAATGAAGGTCAGATGGTCAACAAAAATGGATAACTAACAAGGAACTTTGTCAACGAACCAACCAACAACCTGTCGCTCACCAAATATACCGAATGAAGTCGGGACGGATAGAAGATACAGCGATGAGACCACTGAGTGACATAACTTGTCAAGCAGGCCATTGAGTGGAACTCGAATGGGGAACAATGAGTTGGAAGTAAGGATGAAGATGATATGGAGGAGATCATCTGAGGAAAGAGATGACGTTCCATGGGAAATCGTGGAGGTAGCTAAAGAGGACAGGAGATCTGTTGCTGAAGCCCTATGATCCACTCGGAACTTAAGGAAGTAAGAATAAAATAATATATATGTGAGTTGTCTAATCACTTAGCCCCCGAAACATTGAAAAGGGACCTAGAGACTGTGGCAGATATGCTCACACCATTATTGTAAAAGGCTTGGAAAGAAGGAAAGGTACCTACTGATTTGAAGAAGGGCAACTTACGCCTCACTCTAAAAGAACTGACTAGTGTGGAATTATGCTCTTTTCTACGCCAAGTAAAATACTAAATCGCATCATCCTGGAGAGAATAAAAAAGATGCTCTGATTACAGAACTCCGCCAGCCTAGAACAAGCTGGATTCAGAAAAGGCAAATCGTGTGCTGATCAAATTGCAACTCAATGCATCGTCATTGAACAGGGCATAGAATCGCAGTCAAATTTCTCTCTACCTCAATTTCATCGATTTTGAAAGAGACCTTCGACAGACAGCGTTAACCGAGATATAATTTGGAAAGTTCTTCAACACTATGGTGTGCAGTGCCCAAGTCTTTATCAACCTTATTCAACAGCCGGCTATATGACAATGCCACGTATCAGGTGGTCCACAACGGAAAGTTCAGCGAGGCATTCGAAGTGCACACAGGAGTAAGACAAGTCTGACTGCCTATTATCACCGATGATATTCCTAATTGTGGTGCACTGGATTATGTGGAAGAGAGCAAGTGGGGAGTGAAAAGACGAGAATACTCTGGGACGATAGGAAGACTGTCGAAGATATAGATTTCGCACATGAATGGTTTATATTTAATGTCACACAAACTCGAAGACTAACAAGCAGGACAAAACCAGCAAACTGAATGAAGAAGCAGGTGGTAAAGACAGAACTCCAGGTGAACATATGGAGGATGGAGGCGATGAAGATAACCAACCAACAGCAACAAAAAATAGCACCAATCACCATCAACGGGAGAGATTTGACAGACATTACTCCCTTCACTTATTTGGCTAGGAAGCACGGTTTCAACCAGAAGCAGTTGGAACGGATGCAGATGTCAAAACTAGCCAGAATCGGAAAGGTAAGATACACCTCCATTAATCTGAAAGCAGTTTGGAAATCTTCTGCACTCAACCACCGTGAAGAACAAAATTCAGCACAATTGTTAAGCCAGTCAGTTCTTCTATACGGGTCAGAAAGTTGGCAGGTGTGTCACGAAAAGGATTTCCGACAGGTTGCACACTTTCACCAACAGCTGCATCCTTCGCTGGTTCCAGGAAGAATTAGTAACAAGAAACTCTGACGATGAACAAATCAACCAAGAGCCTATTGCTCGACAAATATGTTCGAGACAATGGAGATGGATCGGGCATACGTTAGGGAGGCCATCGAATGACATCACCCACCAGGCCCTCGAGTGGAATCCCGATGGGAAGCAAAGACTGGGTCGTTACATAGAGGGTAACATGGATAAAATCGTGTGGGAAGAAGGAGATGCGATATTATGGGTAATCGTGGATGCAGCTGAAGAGGACGGCAGAAAGTGGAAAAACGCGGAGATGTGTTGTTGCAGCCCTATATTCCACTTGGAACCCAAGGGAATAATAATAACAAGCATTTAGCAATAACACTGTGTGCATCATTAATCCTTCAAACTCTAAATTAACCTATTCATATGCGATGAAAAAGGAATTTAATTGACACTCAATATAACCAGTTTTTGTACAAGAAGCACTCCGAAAAGAGTTAACTGCTTATCCTGAATTTACCCATAGGACCAAAGCTACCCACTGAAGGAATTATTCTAGGATTTCCACTATATTTCACCCCTACTATCTTCAAATTCCTGGGCAAAGTATACAGAAGAACAGAATGGTTAACAATAGAACCATCAATATCCCCATCGGCAGGAGATATCATTATGGATAGTTCAGAAGATACGGTTCTAAGTACATTTAATCCTACTCCAAAAATATGATGAAGATATGGGTATGACACTTTTACAAGGTTAAATATAGAAAATATCTTTAGCTTCTTCACACATATAAACTCAGTAGTACAGGGGAAAAAACTTATGTTTGAGTCAGAAAATTACTGAGGAGAATCAGGTTTGTTAGATTGTAAAATGAAAACAATAGAAGGAGGTGAACTATGCACTAGCATTTACAAAACGCTGACGCACACTAATAGATATTTTGACTTTAATTCATCTTATTCGTATTCTGCAAAGACAGGTTTAGTTAAGTGTATAGAAGACGAAGCAAAAATTTTAAGTGGTACATCAGAAAACCCAAGTACTCAAATGAAACAGATCGAAGAAGCATTGTTGCATGTCAGGATAAATCTTGCACATGACATCGGCTGGAATTGACAGGCTATTGGATTTCGTTCTAGTGGTTCATGTTGTGACTTAATAGTCTTGGGTTTCATACCTGGTGTGTGAGTTCATCGGCAGTGTGTATTGCCGAAGAGGTTCACACTAGGAAGATACTTACATGTTACTGCCTAGACTAGGAAATCGGACCAGAACAGGATCACGTGAGTGACTGAAGAACATTCTACCTTTGAACCACCGATGCAAAGGTTTGTGCCTTGCCAGGATATGAAGCTAGAGCTACTCTCATCTCAAGCCTTCTATGAAACTCCTGGAACTTCCGTAATACTTAACTTTATAACAAAGCCTCTAAAATATTCAGTGAAAAGGGACACCTTCTTCAATAACCATAAGGATGACTATGTGTTTATGCCACTAAAGGAGGCTGCCTACCGTTTTGTTCTCCTAAAAATCATAGTTAACTTACCAAACTGATGCGTCGTTGAGATTTCCTTTTTGCTGAATGTCTTTTGTTATTTTTAGTGATGCAGAGATACTTTAAGCTACATAGCTGAAAATGTTGAAAATCTTTTGATTCTAGAGGTTAACTGGTGGATGGTGACTAGCAGGATGCGCATTTCGTCCTATGTGGGACTCGTCACTGGATTCTTTCTGAATTTGAACTGCTTCTCTTAGTGGAGTTGTGGAATTTCACTCTTTAAAAATGGCTGATATGTATTTGAATACTGGTCCACCTTATGAGCTTAGGATCTAAAGCCTGCATTTATTATCTATTGTACATCACTGAAGCCTTTTGATTGGTTCCAACTGGCAACTAACAGCTTACCGTAGTCGTCGGGCTTGTATATCACAATGTCCCGATGAGCGGAAAGATTTCCTAGGTAGCGGTAAAACTTAAAGGAATCATTCTTTTGGTGTAAGCCGTTTACATTATGCTACAGGTCTGAGAGTGAAGTCGCTCTGCTGAACAAACAGTCAAGTGTTTCTCCCAGACGAACAGTTTTTGAACTATTCTGCCTCTCCACCCCGAGGAGGAAGTTAAGGAAGACTAGCCTCAAGAACTTCACATCTTGACTTACTCTAAGCAGGTCCGTTACTGGTAGTTGGGTATTAACTCAGATAAAACTCTAGGAACTACTTCAAATGGATCTTGTATGATTGACTTCAAGCAGTTGTTCTGTGTCCTGTGGTTACGTAACACCAATTTTCTTCGTATTTCAACAGTGTTCTTGATTGGTCCGAAACTTCTTTGTGACGACTGCATTCTTTAAATTTGACTAGCCTTTCGTTATTCTGAAAAAGTTTATCTACCAATCAGAGGAGATCAATACTTAACCGTTCATGAATCACAAATACTTTGACTGGAGAATATCAACCAATTAAATTCAGTCAACATCTATACGCACAAAGAAGAACCAATCAGATCGCTTCTAGATGAATCAATACCATGTAAACGATTATTAAGAGCCAGTTTATTTCTGTTTAGTTTAAAACATCATTGACGTTGCTATCTAGCTTGACAAAGAAACGTCTGCTGAACTGAAATTTATTTTTATTACTTACCATCACAATTATTTCATATTTTTCTGTTGGTTTTCTAACCTCTTTTATCTAACTGTCTATCTACTTAGATAACCTTCTCAGTTACCTATGCAAGTTCTATAGCTAAACAAGCCGCTTTTGATCAAGCTTTACGTATTGCAATGGGTGTAATGTCCACGCTGGCTGCATGTTATGCCATGATACGTACATGGATATGGTCACGTCGAGCTGGTGTATTACGTTTAGATGCTATGCTGATTATCAAGTTATTATTATATGCTGCTGGAAATATTGCCAATGCTTTCCTTATCGTTATCTACTTTGTTTCAATTTATTTTCTAATATTTTATAAGGTGAGTTGAAGGTATTTCTGTAATTTAGACTTATAATAGAGAAGATTTGTTGTTCAGGTGGATGGTTTGCAATTAGTTGTGTTCTGTGATCTAAATATTTTGATTGCGGAGCTTTCGTTGTCCTCCTGGACAACATCTTCAGTGAGAGTTTTCGCATAAAATGAACTGATTAACAAACATATTAATACAGACCAAAATTTACGGACTAATAAGAAGTAAATCACACCTGACAAGAAAGTTCAAATTCCAATTCAATAAAAAATGATCAACACAGATGTAAATCGACTACCAGTCACGACACAGATGGTCGCTGCCAGGAGACACAATTCTATCATTCATGGAGAATTTAAATTAGTTCATTTTATGCTAAAACCTACGCTGAAGGAAGATGTTGTCCAGAAGGGGGACGATGAAAGCTTCTCAGTTAAACTAACCAGCTCAGAGAACACAAATAACTGCAAATTTAGAGTTACTTTGAGTCTTCCTTTGATTTTAATTTTTCAAAAGAATGGATACTGAACAAAGAGTACTCTTTTCGATAACATTCTCTTCATCAGGCTCTACAGTTATATATAGATTATAGTAAATGAATGAATTAGTGTCATGAACAACATTATTGTTATTTAAATAACATCAAATCAATAATATTGATAGACTACAGCTCAATAGCATCAACATAAAATAAGGTGAATGTCAGGAAAATTAGGAAAGTCAATATTACACATTCATGAATTTATAGTCTCTACTGAAAGCCAGGGCAGGACAGCAAATACTATTGAGATTAGATGCATAGGGTTCGTTGACTGACTGAATGACTGGTTTCAACGTAGAACTTTGTACAGATGTGCGGCAATTCGAGTCGCCGCGCTCCCTTCATGTAGCTCACAAAGCAAGAGATGAAAGTAAAAAGAGATTCCAAACAGAGGTATGAGGGAAAAAAATAGTCATATAGAGGCCCACTATAGTTTTATTGGGTATTATAAATCACAAGGAGTGAATGCATCTGCGCCATCATCGAGAACGATTTTCAGCCATATCACCAATTGTCTCCACCTTTCAATGGTTTTTACCGTCCCGATGACCCCAACCAGTCAGTGACGAAGTCTACACCTTCCTAAGTGACTGGCTGAAACTAAGTGTTGTGGATTTTATTGGCTGATGAAGCCATATCCTGGTTTGACCACCAATAGCTCTTTTCCAACCTGATCCATCCTATGTCAGTCAGCTAACATTGCCCGCCACTCGAGGAAGGCGATGGATGGCTAGGCAGGCATGCATAGCACATGTCCTAACCATCTCAGTTTACGTAACTTCACAGCATCGTCGATTGATTTCCCCTACCACCTACCTAGCTGGCACTCGACTGATGCCTAACCTCAATATTGCTCACTCTATTAAACCACCACCTAACACGGGAGATAGAATGCAGGCACCTATGTTCAAAAACAGCTAACCTTTTTATGTCTCCCACTTTCACAGAGGAGAATAGCTTCATCTAATGAAATGGTTAGGATGTGTACTTGGTTCCCAGGTCTCTACTTGCACTGGGCAACACTCATCTATGTAGAAAGAGTCAGGGATGGCTATAACAGTCTCTGAAGTTGTTTAATGTTGATTTTGGCTATGTGATATTGTGCATTCTTCCGTAGCTGTAGTTTCAGAGATTAATATTATTATTTCCCTATGGCTCTGAGTGCAGCGTAAGTACAAAACTTGTTAGTTCCCATTTGGATTCCACTCAAGCGCTTAGGACGTGATATCAGTCAGCGATCTCCTCAGCGTTTGTCCATACCATTTCGGTTTCCTTCGGTATACTTATTGGGCTATAGGTTCCTGGTCTATTACTTGCCAGAATTCCACGTTCCTTATTCTTTCTGTCCATTTGATCTTCAGGATGGAAGCACCTGTTGATGGAAGTTTGCAGTAGGATGTCGGAAATCTTTTTCATAACGCCCCAAATCTCTAAACCATATACAGGTTTCAACAACACTAAGATATAATAATAACTGGAAACTTAAGGTTAAGTAACTGAAAGCATTTGAAGGAATGACATATTACTCAACATTCATTTAACAAGGGGCTATATCGATAGTTTGAGATCTGCTTATAGCACCTATTAGGGCAAAACTCTGTCACTGAAGCAGGATTTTAATTCCTGAACCCCACTGTCAGATGGAACTCTTGGTAATTGAAGTGAGCCATACATTGTTGAAGGTTTTCAGTTTCTAACTTGTTTATCAAGTTCATTCTAAACATTGCATAACAAAAATACCTTTTGGAAACAGATTACATAGTTGTTTTATCGAATTCACATTTGTAAATAAAGCTTCCCAATTCTCTTGAAAGTAAGCATCACTCCTATGCCTCCTATGTGATCACAATCGACCAAATGAAAGGACATTGAACTTCAAAATAATTCTGCTGTATTTTTTCCTGACCAGTAAGAGTAGACATCAAGCCTTCCGCTGTATTTCGCCTTTTATAATGCCTGTTTGTCTGAATCTATAAGTGTGCATTATATGTGGCATAGCTAGATAATTAACTTATCTCTTGTTTGAATAATAATAGCCGGTTGTGTAGAAAATGGCATACCGTAACAGGTTCATTTTATTTCATACGATTATAATATTCACTCTCTTTTCATATACTTTTCAACTTTCAAGTGATGCCTTTTTGTAAAAGGCTTCTATCTTCTTCATTCCACTGCATTATGAGTGGAACACAGGACTTTAAGTCTCAAAGTTCCAGTAGCGTTTATGTTGATTTTGAACAGGTGGGAGGGGTTGCTAGCCTCACTCCTGATCTGCTGTATTCTCTGACCTGAATACTGGCTAGTGGAGGGGGTTCGCGAGTGCTACAGCTGAGAATCGAACCCCAACGACGTGCATGGCTGGCGGGTATTCTGCTCCCTGAAACGCCAACGCACAACAATGCTCAACAGGAATCATCTGCAATCAAATATCCGTAAAGTCAGTAAAGTAATAAGATGGTCTAATTAGCAGAAGATTCGTAATATGGATTTCACTATAACTCAGCATTATTGATTATTATTATTGTTATTCTCCTGGGTTCCTAGTGAGACGAAGGACTCCAGCAGCACATCAACGGTGCATTCGGTTCTCTCCCATCCCTTTTACCTGACTCGAAGATTGCTCATACGCTTTCATTTCCTCCTCACATGATCTCCTCTATGTCAACCAAGCCTAACTCGTCGTTTCTCATTCCGTTTCCACTTAAGGGCCGAAAATGTAACATCACTCAACTGTCTTCTCAGCATGTACCCAGTTAATCTCCATTTCCTCCTAAATATTTGTTGGGTTACAGGATTTTATCATGAACTGTAACCAATCGGTTGAATCCCTACAAACCAACACTCGAATATCAATGAGATGCTCACTAGCGACTGGTCCTATTCAGGTAGGTAGTTACCTGCGATTACAATGGGAAGTCATGACCAGTAGGGTACAGCAGGTCGGGTGTGAGGACAAATACTCGCCACTGATGACACTGACTACTGGTCACGCTATGTCGTGAATTGGCAGAAATTGGAATGCATGGAGTGGCCATTGGATAGGGTCCTAGTGGCTTAATGGTCTACGTGCTAGCTCGTCTTGTAACCAGAAGGTCCTGTGTTCGAATCCTGAAGTGCAGGTGAGTACTGGTGAAGAGTCCCAAAATGGGATGAGACAGCTGTCCATTACTCCCAGGTGGTTTTCCAATGGTTTTCTAACCGATGTCAGCTCATGATGAAATCCTGTAACCGATCAATCAAATTCCTATTCGCATATAAACTCACCATTAGAGGGAATAAAATTCACATTTGAATCGGAAAATGAACAAGGAAAATTAGCTACAGTGTTAGGTTGTAAAATAAAACGAATAGAAGAAGGTAAACTGCACACAAGTAATGATAAAAAACCAACGCATTGTAATACATATTTGGACTTTAATTCGTCTCATCCGTTGTCTGTCTGTTAAGGCAGGCCTAGTTAAGTGTTTAAAAACCGAGCAGTAGCACTAAGTAGTACAACAAAAAACCTAAATGATGAAATAAAACAGATAGAAGAGGCGTAGGTATTAAATAATTATCCTATAAAATTCATTAGGAATATAAGTAAAGGCCAAAAACAAAATAAAAATAATGGTGAAACTAGTAATGATAACATAAATAAGAGAGAATATAAGGCATCTACTGTTATACCATGTAGGGGACATCTGAGACCCCACGTAGGATTCTTAATAAAGCAGGAATTAGAGTGGCATTCAAACCTACACACTCATTCAGACGCATGCTCTGTAGGCCAAAAGACCCGGTGGACCCAATTAAACAAAACAGTATAATTTACAAAATACCCTACAATGACTGTGAGGTCAACTACATAGGTCAAACTAGTAGATCAGGGGTAATCCGATTGTCGGAACATAAGAATTTAGCTAAGGTAAGAATGGTTGACCCCGAGAAGATGAGTAATTTAGAAAAACGCTCAGTAATTGCATTGCATGCATTAACACAAAACCACACAATAGGCTTGGAGAGGGTTAAAATTCTAAGAAGTTATATAGGTAGGTGGAGATAGAGAGAGGTTGATTACTGAATCCTTGTTCATCGAATCTACACTCAATACATGCAATAGGAATGACTCATCACTCATACTGGAAATATGGAAAATACTACTACCAATCATCAGATCAAGCGATGGAAAGCACTAATGGAATTATATAAACGAAGTAAGAAAGTTGTTTGAGTAGTGCCTTGATATTGGGATTGTGAGCAGCAATAAATTGTTCTCGAAACGTCATCAGTAAATATTACTGTATAACACTGCGATACTTTATCAGAACAAATTTTACTCATAATGGAATTACACTCCACCACAGTACCCAAGTTTTGTACTTATATCAACAATCAATCAAATGCCTACAAACCAATACCTGAATAACAGGTTCTTGTTTGGTGGCCTGTCGTATCTGGTCATTTGATATTCATTACCGAAGCAGAGAAGGCAAGTGTTGATAATGATCTGCAGCTTGTTGGAAACTCTAGAAACCGGAATCTGTCTTCTCATGCAACATAATGCACAAATGTCCACAGAGCTCAGCAACTGATGCTACTCATTGTCTTCAAACTACACGACAAGAAGTTTATTATTATTATTGTTTCCTTTAGTTCCTAGAAGAACATAGGACTTCAGCCAAACGTCTACATTGCGTTCGGTTCTCTGTCAACGATTTCATCACCTAGATCCACGCCTGCCCATATGCTTTGATCTCCTCTTCAAATGACCTCCTCCATGTCACCTTTAGACTATCGACTCGCCGCTTCCCTTTCGGGTTCCACTCGAGGGCCTGTTTTGTGATGTCACTTGATGGTTTCCCCAGAGTATGGCCAATCCACCTCCATTTCTTCCTGCATATTTGTTTCACAATCGGTTCCTGGTTGGTTTGCTCCCAGAGATCTCTGTTGTTGATCTTTTCTGGCCATCTGATCTTGAGTAGTATTGAGCGAAGACAGCTAGCTGTTGATGAAGGGCTGTAGTTTGTTTGAGGTGCTCTTCATGATGCACCAAGAAGTTTACCTTCCCGAATAAACAATTTATTTATGCCTTACTAATTTTCATCCAATTTTCAACAACAATTATGCCTCCTAATTTATTTATTTATTTGCTTATTTTAGGTACAAAGTGTATATGTTATCAATTTACCAAATTCTGATGATTTTATTTTAAATTATATTGCCGCAGCATTTGCATTGAAATGTGTCGATTTAATACATTTGATAGCTGTTCAATGTACAATGGATATCTTTTTAATTGATTGGGAACCACAAAAATATCATCCTAAAAGTAGTACAGCCAATATTAACAATAATGCAGCATCAACTACCGATATGATGACGACTTCTAGAAGTCAATCGTTGAGACGATTCAATGTGGCGAATGGTAATGGCTTCTTGTATATATTATTGTTATTATTATTATTATTCACATGAACTGTCGTCAAGATTTGACAGAATAGTTCTAAAATATTTGAGCGCCGAGTGAGAAGTAGACATTTGTAAAAAACAATTATATTTGTAAAGTCTCAGCGAGATTGAAATGAGTAATTCCAACGTTTCTTGTGTTCGGCAATCTGGTCCGAACTTCTTCAGGGAAATTAATCAAAATTAACATAACAGAGGTTTATATGCGGAAAAGGAGGACATCTCTTGTTTTTAAAACTTTGTCAACTGATGAATCATAAAACAACTATGTAATTAGCACAATTATCGTGTTTTCACTCTCCGTTGTCTGCATCGGGATGCATATCATAAATCCGTAGCTGTCAAGTCACCTGACAACTCCAGTAGGTCGAATAAAGCAGCTCAATATTCAGAAAGAAGAAGACAAAGCAATAAGTTCGACAGGGTGCTCTTCAACTAAATTCTAATTCTAAACACCATAATTTTGAGAATATGTCTAATCATGAAATTCTAGATACTAACAGTTTGAACAGACATGAAGGTGTGATGTATGTTAGCTGATGCATAAGAAATCTTTATAAATAAATAAAAATGGATATGTATCACTAGTTAATTAATAATACTTGGTCGAAATTCCCGATTGTCTATATCTTCTTATGGAAACGTTAAGAAATGTTTTACAAGTGTTTACCCACACGCACATACACACTCTGTTTAAAGTGTTTAACAAAGGTAGACCAATATTTGTAAGTCCGGGGTCAAATTTTGATCACAGCTCATACAATTTTGTTTATTATACTTGTTGAATGACTCATGATTGGACAAAGTTTTAAAATTTGAATAAAGCATTTAGAAGACAAATTTCGCGAGATAATATCATTTCGTAGTTTCTCTACAACCGCTTTACAACTAACATGGTTAACAATAATAAAATGTTAGTCAATGTTTTTACACACACACACACACGTGAACATGTAATATTCATGTCTTCTTTGTGTTTTTTTATGTCCCCCGAACAATATAGATGGCATTGATGAATTAGAGGTACGTTATAAACGTGAGCTGAAATCCCCACTACCATCGCATCATATAGAAGACACGGGGATATCTGTATGGCGAACGATCTACGTGGCCAATGAATGGAATGAAATACAAACACATCGTAAAACGAATTATTTAATCACTTTAACAATTGTGTTGATTCTAATGCAGGTAAATGGGGAATATTAATTGTAATAATAATAATAATAATAATTACTGTATATAACTGTTTATATATATGTACGTAGATATTCGGTAATACTGTGTATATCTTGTAAGGAACTAGGCTTATTGATTTGATAAGTAACACTTCTCGGCTACATATCAGTTTGTTGAGGGTATTGGAGGTTTTAATGTCTCACTTAAGGTGATTATTATTACTATTGTTTCCTTTAGTTCCTAGAGGAACATAGGGCTTCAGACGTACGTCTTCACTGCGTTCGGTTCTCTGTCAACGTTTTCACTTGGCTCCATGTCTTCCCATATGCTTTCATCTCCTCTTCACATGACCTCCTCCATGTCACCTTTGGACTACCACCTCACCGCTTCCCGTTCGGGTTCCACTCGAGGGCCTGTCTTGTGACATCACTTGTTGGTTTGTTTTCTCAGAGTATGGCCGCCAACCCACCTATATTTCTTCCCGTTTTGGACGACTGGTTGCTGCTGGGTTGGTTCGTTCATTGCCATAGTTGTCTGTTGCTGATGTTTTCCTTCGTGACGCTGCGCCAATACTTTGATCCATGTAGCAGCGCTAACTTAACATTGAAGTTGAAAATCTGGATCTTATTTTCCATGCTGATTGCTGAGTGTTGATCTCCACACAGACTTGAGAGTAATGAAAGCTTGTCTTGCTTTCTCAGTCCTCTCTTTGATATCCTCGTCAGTCCCACCTGTAGCTGAGACAGTGCTTCCCTGGTTAGTAGGTAGGTAGGTGAAGGAGGTGGCTTCTTTCATATTTCTCCCATTTATGCTGGCTGATTGTTGTCTGTTCTAGGTGTTGTTGCTGTTGCTGTTGGCCAGGAGTCTTCATCACCTCTGTTTTCCCTATGTTCACCTGACGTGAGGTTCTATTTTTGATGCTTCTTATATCGCCAACTTGTTGCTTTTCACTTGCATATCTTCCAGTTTGTAGGAAATCAGACATGTATCATCGGCGAAGTCCAGATCCTCCAAGTTTTTGTAAGAGTCCATTTTATTTCTGTTTTCTCGTTGCTTACTGCTGTTTGTCGCATTATCCAGTCTACAACAATCAACAAAATCATTGGAGTTAGTAGGCAGCCAGATTGTCTTACTCCCGTCTTCACTTCTTTGAAGGATTCCGTGAGTTTCCCATTGTGGATTACTTGGCATGCAGCATTGTTGTACAACTGTTGGATGAGATTTATAATTGTTGGTGGCACCCTGTAGTAATGAAGCAGTTGCCAAATCACCTCTCGATCGACACTTAAGATCATGCTCTCATTAAATTTGACCTCGGTATTTACTAATATACCTCTGACAGAAACTATCTACGGTTGCCAGCAATCTACCTTAAATAACTCTTATTGAGATGCACTATTATGACGGGAACTATGACCTAATATTCTATGAGCGAATAATAACTTTAATATGTTGGCTAATCTGTCCTAATAGCACGTCATTCACAACAGCAATAAATATAATTCCGCTGGGCCGCAAAGACAGAAGAGAAGACTGTATGTTGGTAACATGAACTAACATCGGTTTAGTGAAGCAGTGGAAACCCTCAGAGTACTGGAAAATTTGTTTGAGTTAATTTTTCATTTTCCTCAATGATTGATTGTATTTGACAAAAATGTTCGATGGTTACTGATATTTCAGGTCCTAGTGCAGCCGCTCTGACGATGTTTAAAGATTAACATGAGGTTATGTGAACGATTGTAATCTTCAGTGGAGTCCAGAATGCTCCATTCCTCCTTTTTCGGGTTCATCATTTTTTTTTGATTTACAGCTTGATTCCACACCGTATTTTCAGTACAAGTGTGGAACTTTCAGCATGGATTTCGGTGGCCCAAATTCAGGCCGACCATAGATATCGGGTGTGCGCCGGCAGGGGATCGAACCCCGGACCATGTGCATGGTCGGCGAGGGTCCTAACCACTGTGCCACCGACGCATCCGGTAATATGATCACTCACTGACGATACAGGCACGTGCAGGTGACGAGTCCTAAATGGGACGAAATGCACATCCTAGATTCAACTGCTTACTATAATAATAATAATAATCATAACTGCGTCTGTTGTATTATACCATTATCACTAGTAAACACTGATAAGTTCTTTAGTAAACACTGACAATTGATATAACAATAAAACTTATGCACTGTGTTAGAGTATAATTCCATTATGGGTAAAATTTCTTTTGATAAAGTTTCACAGTGTTATCATATCAAGGTGATATCATTATGAACAATAAAATGTGCTCAAAACATCATCAGTAAACATTACTGAATGACACTGTGAGACTTTATCAAAATAAATTTAACACATAATGAAACGCTGACAATGTCTCTCAGAGGATTCGAACCTGATATACCACTAATACGCTTGGTCACAAACGCGGGGGTGGGAAAGACCGTCAGGTGTTTACGTCATGCTCGATCCGCCTATCAGTTACTACTCTGACACGGGTGGTTTGTAACTACTTATGTAAATCGATCAGTAGTATATGTCGTGAAGTCTCAAAAATATTTTCAATCGTTGACGCACTGTCTAGTCTGTTTAATGCGTAAATTATCGTTAATGATTGTTTCATTTCGTTTTTGTGTTACGTAATAGGTTGTTGGATTAGAGAATTTAGCTTCAAAAGATGCCAAATCGTATGTTGTCATTAATCCGTATGAATATCAAAGTCCACAAAGTCGAATATTCCGTGTAGCTCTTATACTTTCAATATTTGCAGTATCCGGTAAAGTTTATTTATATAAAATGTTTCTATTTTTTAAAATGTGTTTATTCTTATAAGTCTATTCTTATTCTCATTTTATTTCTTTACACAAAAAACTTGGAAGATCTGGACTTCGCCGATGATACATGTCTGATTTCCCACAAACTGGAAGATATGCAAGCGAAAAGCGACAAGTTGGCAGAAGAAGCATCCAGAGAAGATAGGAAGGACTTCAGGTGAACATAGAGAAAACAGAGGTGATGAAGATTCCTGGGCAACACCACCAACAGCAACAACAACAACAATCAGCATAAATGGAAGGAACCTGAAAGAAACAACCTCCTTTACCCACCGACCTACCTGGGAAGCATCGTTTCAACTACAGGCGGAACTGACGAGGATATCAAAGCAAGAATCGGAAAAGCAAGACAAGCTTTCACTACTCTCAAGTCTGTGTGGAGGTCAACAACACTCAGAATCAAAAATAAGATCCGGATTTTCAACTCCAATGTGAAGTCAGTCAGTGCTACTTACTATACGGATCAGAGACTTGCACTGCGCGTCATAAAGAGCATCTCAAACAAACTACACACCTTCATTAAGAGTTGTGTTCGCTCAATACTACTCAAGATCAGATGGCCAGAAAAGATCAGCAACAGGGATCTCTGGCAATGAGCGAACCAACACAGCAGGAATCGATTGTGAAACGAATAGGCAGGAAGAAATGGAGATGGATCGGCCATAGTCTGAGAAAACAAGTCATCAAATGACATCACTAGACAAGCCATTGCTCGAGTGGAACCAGGCCGAAAGGGAAGCGGCGAGTTGGTCGTCAGTGCGAGGGTGGGGTGACTTGGAGGAGATCATGTGAAGAGGAGATGAAAACGTGTGGGGAGACTTGGAGCCAGGTGAAGACTGTAGCAGAGAACTGAACGCAATGTAGACGCATGGCTGAAGCCCTATGTTCCTCTAGGAATTGAAGGATACAATAATAATATAACAATTCCTTTACATTCCCAGTGGACCATAGGGCTTGGTGTTTCGGTAACAGTGGTATTTATTTTTACAGGATGGGGTTGCTAACCTCATGCCCAACCTTCCATCCTTACCAGTCTTATAACTGGCTCAACAAGGTAAAGGAGTGCGTCGGCTGAGGGTCGAACCCCGGACCACATGGGGCGCGGTTGGCGAGCATTTTACCGCTGTGCCACCGACGCACAAGTTCATTCTTACTACTACTGTTCTCATGCACATATACATACATATATATACACAAGCTTTGAATTCTATATTATTTTAGTTATTTTTGTCACTTTTATTGCTAATCTTAGTTTTTCTATGGTTCTTCATATATATTTTTGAATAAATTCAGCTGGGTATGTAGTTATTCACTAGTAATACTTCCTTTATTTATTTGATTTCGTTATTTATTTAAATTATCTGACTTATTAGTTAGGCTCTTGGCCCGATTATAAAGACATTTAACTAAACCTATCCTCCTTCACCAATTCCGGATGGGATGAATTAAATTCTAAGTATTTATTATTAGAGTGTGTGTATCGGTTTCCTATAATATCTGTAGAGTAGTTAGCAGTCGCCAGGAAGCTCTAGACTCAGGGTTTACTGTTTATGGAAACTCGACAGCATGACATATCTCTAACCTCAAGGGAAAATGACGTCCTCCATTTGGTCAGACTTCCAGTTAGAGGTGCCACCACATTGGATACACCACTCAGCGACGAATCAACATAGAGCAGTAACTTTCATTTAGAAAAGTACAATAATCCTTCCATATTTCGGGTATGAGTGATGATTCATTCCTATTGCATGTGTTGGGTGTAGATTCGATGAACAGGGATTCAGTAATCAACCTCTCTTTCCACCTACCTATGTTACTCTTTAGAATTTTGACTCTGTCCCACCCTATTGTGTGGTTGTTTGTTAATGCATGAAGTGCAATTGCTAAGCTTTTTTCTAAATTACTTATCTTCTCGGGGTCAACCATTCTTACCTTAGCTAAATTCTTATGTTCCGACAATCTGATTACCCCCGATCTACTAGTTTGACCTATGTAGTTGACCCAACCCACAGTCATTGCAGGGTATTTTCTGAATTATATTATTTTGTCTAAATGGGTCAACAGGATCTTTTAGCCTACAGAGCTTGCCCCTGAGTCAGTTTGTAGGTTTAAATGACACCCTAATTTCTGCTTCATTAAGAATCCTACGTAGGGTCTCAGATGTCCCCTCTTTATATGGTATAACTGTAGATGACTTATTTCGCTCTTATTTATGTTATTATTACTAGTTTCATAATTCTTTTTATTTTTCTTTTGGCGTTTTTCAATCTTCCTAATGAATTTTAGAGGATAGTTATTTAAAACCAACGCCTCTTCTATCTGTTTTATTTCATCATTTAGGTCTTTTTTTGTACTACTTAGTGCCATTGCTCGGTTTGTTAAACACTTAACTAGGCCTGCCTTAACAGTTAAAGGATGAGATGAATTAAAGTCTAAGTATCTATTAGAACGCGTTGGTTTTTTCTCAACACTAGTGTGCAGTTTATCCTCTTCAATTCGTTTTATTTTACAATCTAACATTACAGCTGATTCTCCCTGTTCGTTTTCCGATTCAAATGTGAATTTTATTCCCTCCACTAGTGAGTTTATGTTTGTCAAGAAGCTAGAGATATGTTCTTTTTTTAACACTGTGAAAGTGTCATCCGCATATCTCCACAATATTTTTGGAGTAGAATTAAATGTATTAAGAGCACTATTTTTCCAGCTATCCATGAAAATGTCTGCTACAATAGGGGATATTGGTGATCCCATTGCTACACCTTCAGTTTGTCTATATATTTTGCCTTGGAATTTAAAGTTAGTGGATAGAGACATTACTGAATTCTTAAAGTAATTTCTCCAATGGGTAGTTTCGTCCTATAAGTGAGTTCAGGGTCTGCAGTTAGTTCTTTTTTAACCACTTCTAAGGCCATATTGACTGGTATATTAGTATAAAGACTAGTTATATCAAAACTAACCATTGTTTCATCATTCTCTAGCTGAATGTCATTTAGTTTCCTTTTCATCTCAAATGAATTATATATCAATGATACATTAATCCTTGTAGCTAATTTAATCATGTGCGTCGGTGTCCCAGCGGCTAGGACTCTCACCAACCACGCACATGGTCCAAGGTTCAATTCCCTGCCGACACACACCCGATATCAATGACCGGCCTGCAAAATTTGGCCTACCGGTATCACATGCTGAAATTTCCATATTTGTACCAAAAATACGGTGTGGAGTCAAGCTATAATCAAAAATATAAAACAAATAATACCTCATGTGAAGATAATATTGAGAATAAATTTGAAAATTTTTAAAAAAAAAAACATGACAGATTAAATCAAAATAAATGACTTAGAAATGCACATTTATCATCTTACCTAATTAATATGCATAACAAGAAACAATTTTATTGATTTTTCTAGTGTGTCAAACATTCCATAATTGTATATACTATCGATTTACATGAATAATTGAGGACCACTCACTCGTAAAGAAACCGTAGTGAAAGAAAGACCAGATTTGCAGTATAAAATGATATAGCCATCATTCTATTTCACAGGTTCTCATCAGCTGCTGTAGACTACCTGAAATTCCAATGGTTATAAACAATGACATTTCATACTTTAATGTTTGAAAGGTAATAGAGAAAATACTATAAGATGAATGTATCCGGAATATAAGCACCATTACAATTTTCAGTTTAAGTCACTATCAATTTATATGTTATCAAACTATGAAAAAAGGAAATTGGGGCAGGGGAGTAAGAGAAGACAGACAACAGAAAAGTCTAATAAACAGTGTTAGCTTGTACGTCAATATGACAACTCAAGAAGGTCAAAGTTCATCAAACTGAAAACTTGCAATTAATAGTGTTCTCTGAGCTTGTTGGTTTAGTTGCGAAGCTTTCGTCGTCCTTATGGACATCTTCAGCGCAATATTTAGCATAAAGTGAAATGATTTAAATTTCTTCATGAATGATATAATTGCGTCTCCCAGTAACCATCTTTACATATGTATTCACCATTTTCTATTGACTTGGATTTTAAACTTTCTCGTCACCTGATTTACTTTTTATTAGTTGGTATATTTCGTCTATATTAAGGTGTTTGTTAATTGCATTTTCGTTTGAGTACCACCAGACTTCTAGGAATTCCCTGACTGCACTTTTGGTGTTTCCTCTGTCTAAGATTTCGACACTATCTCAATCAAACTGATGTCCATAATTGTCTATATGCATTGATACTAAGGAATATATATCGTGTCTTTTCACGGCTGATTTGTGTTCTTGGATTCTGATTCGAAGGGGACGCCCACTTTGGCCTATGTAATGCCTGTGCAGTTCATACAATTTATTTTGTGAATGGTATTAATTTTATCTCCTTTTTCTGTTGGATGGGTCTTTCGGTTTGCATAATATCGAATTAAGCGATTTGACTGGCTTGTGTGCTATATCTATATCAAACGGTTTCAGTATTCTAGCTGTTATTTCAGAGATATTCCTCATGTATGGTAGAATGAATTTTCTTGTGGTCTTTGATGATGGTTTCTTGTTGGTGTTTTGATTCGACTTTAAACACTTTTTGGTGAAATTTTGTGGATAACCATTCTTTTTGAAGACCGTTTGTGGGTACTTTTCTTCCATTCTTTTCAATTCTGGAGTGCTACAATGTGTCCGAACCCTTTTAAACAATGTCTGCACACAGTTTCGTTTGTGAGTAATTGGATTATTGCTAGTATAGTTGAGTATTTGATCTGTGTGCGTTGATTTTCTATATACTTGTGTTTCTAAATTTCCTGTGTTAGTTCTCCTGATTAAGATATCTAAAAATGAGATTTTGTTATCTAATTCTTCTTCTCTTGTGAATTTGATGTCTTCAAATATGTTGTTTATTAATTTATGGGTATATTCTAAATCATTTCTCTTAATTATTACAAATGTATCATCAAAGTAACG